ACCTGGAATGAAATAACCAAGAGAAAATCATCGGATACCCACCAGTTACTTGTCATAGGTAAACTTTTTGATCTTGAGGTTAGTTAATGGTAACCTTGACTATAAAAACATCAGCAGTTCTTCAAAAATTTGATCCTGAATATCTTTTCTGTCAACTAAATCAAGAATATTCATTGTAATATGATAATACAACAGTGATTTGAAAGATACAATGTCTCTTTACAAGCACATAAATCTTCCACATGTTGCTGTCATCATGCATTACAAATATAAGGCTTTAAAAAGTTTTTTTTGTGGTTAGCTAAAGATGCGGGATTGTCTCCCGGTGCCATCGCTGGAATAGTAATCGCATGTTTAGTCATCCTGGTAGCTGCAGGTGGAGGGGTGTACTTCTATAAAAAAAAGTAAGTATGAAATTGTAAAGATTTGTCTAAATTGAAATTTTTACTACTTTTTTAGTCATTGTTGAATAACAAGTATAAATATGTTCTTGAATTTTCAATTGTCCCTTTTATGACTGTGCAGTTCTCCATTACAAAGCAATTGTTCTGCAAATGGATCAACTGACTATTAATGTTATATTGCTGTAATTGGTCAAGAAATCTCTGCCCTTTGAATAACAATTTTTAACTCTACACAGTGGAAAAAAATCTTCAAACTCAAACACTGTCATCACAACAGGTACATTTATCTTTGCTGCATATGCGTTGAATCGTTATTTGTGGTATTTTTTACCAAGTTGAACCCACTTTAATTCTAAGCCATTCTTATTTTTCATACTTGATAGGTGGTGATGGACAACGCAATAATGGATATGCAAGTGAGGTAAAAGTCAAGATTGCCTTTTACAACTAAACTGTGTGGATAAATCATATTATTCACATACTGGAGAATGTGTTCGATGGCAAACGCAGCATGTGAAGTTTTTACTAAAATCATAAGATGCTGTTGAGATTAGGTTAACAAGCACTCATTCTTATATAAAACAATGCTAAAGCATGTTTATCGTATACACCAATAATATATATATATATATCTACTGCGATGTAACTGTTTGTTGACAAAATAATCTCAAACACATGATGAGACACACTGAAGCTTTGCTCAATATTTTTGTGTTCCAGGAGTTGAACTATGCAGACATCAATTTTTCAAAAAGCGGCAAAGGAGGAAGAGTCCAGCTGAGATTAGAAGAAACTTCATCAGACTATGCCCAGGTCAGAGTGAACCACAGTCAGTCTGCAGCAGCCTTCCCTCCCACCTATGATGCCCACATGCAGCGAGCAAGGAGGCCAGTTTCTTAGTCTGTGGCTAATGGGACAAAAGCATTTGTTAAAATACTGTAAAATTGAGCACATATGATTTGATGAATGCGGCCAGAGGCAGCGGGTGTGTTTCAAGAAAGTAGCACTTTGCACTCTTTGTCTTTATGGTGGACAAATTAAGACCTAAGTTTACTCGGTCAAAGCACTTAAGTAGTAAATAATCAACCAGCTCTGACAGCCATTGCCATGGTCACAACCAGCATACACACACCTTTTCCCTTTTCTTTTGTTTTGTGTGAGCAGGCAGTGAAAAGAGAGGTGTAATATTTGCCTTGTGAATCTGAATTTTTCTTGATATTCTAATATGATATTAACATCACATTGAAGCATGGCCTTTTGGATTAATTTCAAATTAGATATACAAAACCTAAGTGAACACAAAAAGCGTTCAATATATGATGATATTTATTTAACAGAAATAATATGTATTTATTTGCTGGGTCCAGCTAATTTATATGATTTGTAAAGGACTGTGAATTTGCACTCACACCTTTGTAATTAGTTAATTACCCTTTTATTCAGGGGAAAAAATCAACCTTATAATCTTAAAGTAAAGTGGAAGGGACTCATTTATATGAAGAAAACCAAACGCTTTCTGCCACGCTTCCATGTTTAGTGCTGGATCTTCGCAGCTTTGTAAGAGAAATCCAGGGTGAAGTTGAGAAAAAGGTTGATTATTAAACTGACCTTACTTAGCGTCTGGGAACTTGATAAAGCGTGTGGTGCTTTCGTTAAAGGCAGCTGCCACATTAACCACAGCGTATCGGCTGCTTTTCCTGTTGCTCAGCCATTTTTTTTCTGCAAAAATCCTTGTTAATCCTAACAACACATTTAATGCGACTATGTGATTAGGCGTTATTCTCCTTTTTGCTATTATTGCTGAATGAAGCTGATTTAATGCATTAGAAAAGTTGATGTACTATGCTCTAAGTTACTTATTAATCAAGATCTATTGTAAATCATTTTGCTGAGTCTCTAAATTTATTTTAGCAATGACGCCTGTGTTTTACTTTGACCTTTGCACAAGTGAAGTCCTTTCTTGTTCCCTTTCAACCATAAAGTTGAAAGGACACACATTGGTCATTAAACAATGACCACTTTTTGAGCTGCTTTGCTTTTTTAACACTGATTTTTTTATTTGAGGTTGTTTGTGATTTATTTATGTGTTGCTGATGAATAAAAAATGTTTCATTTTAAAAGTTTGAGATTTTTTATCCATTTTGCTGCTGTGGCAGTTTGGAGTCAAAGAATTAGATGGCACAGTAGCCTGTGTATTTTAGAGAAGTAAAAGTTATGCCAAACACTGAATACAATAACGAAAAATTTAAGATGAACTGTAATAAAGAAATGCAAATGTGTTTTCTGTTAGTCATTTACATGACTGTGCTGCATGCAAAATCTTCCCCCATAAATAAAAATAGGTCCTTTCATATCTAGCTTTCTCTGCTATAGTGTTTTATGTTTTCTTAGTAGGGTAAAGTCTCCTTTCATGACGTCTGATGAAATAAAATTGGATGCCGTAAAAAGGCTAAATGAATGAGGAAGTTATCATGATATAGTTTTAAAATCTGTTATACTGCATTTACGTTGCAGCAATAAAGTCAAAGTTCACCGTGAATTAAAATCTTGCTATCAAATGACAGTGACACAATGATCCGGTTTAACAGGATACTGTTTATAAAAGTTTATAAAGATTTCCTCTGCAGCTCTGTGTCTCAAATTTGAAAACATGTGCTGTCGTGTCCTGGAGCTTTGAAACGTAGGTGTGAATGTAATATAATGTAATAAAAATGTATTATTGCTGCATTAGAGGCATTAAATTTGACTTTACATTGGGTCACTTTCTGTTTTTTACATAAATTACCAAAGGCCTATTTTTTATCTAAATAATTATGTTTAATTATGAAAATAATGAGAACAGAAGACAAAAGTTATTTCAAGATTTACATGAAATAACTTTGTCATCATATCATAAAAGTCTATAGCTTTTGTGTGGCTGTGATAGGCAAATGACTGATTTCATTTACTGGAAGCCCGGCTTTTATAACTGCTTTATTTGGTGAAGGAGGAACCATAGATAAGTTCAAAATCATGTGAAAGCAATGCCATCTGGTGGTTCTAACAGCACTGACAGAGCAGTTCAACCTGTCTGAGCAATATTAGTGCAGCTGTTTGTGTTTGTTTCAAATGGATACTTATCTAGAAATTTGATTAAATTATTAGAAAAACAAGGGCCCACAGCAAATGAGACATTTCAGATCCAATGAAGACTGCACTGCTGCACTGTGATGACACCTTTTCTCTCAATAGTTGGGAAATTTCCGTTTCTTCGGATTTCACAATCTAGGAAATTCTGGTGCTGTGAAACAAAGGTGGGACTGAAATACACATAGTTTTCGAGTAATAACTCTCTGCCGTTAGCCTTCAATAGAGAGAGAAGAAGAGCTCTGCCATGGCACCGAAGTGGATGGATCTTTGCTGGGCCCTTCTGGTGACGGTCATGAGTGAGAGCAGATTATTTACTGACCTTTTCTGCTATGATGCCTTAAAACCTCCTAAATGAGCGGTTAGATTGTTCTGTGTGGTGGTAAGAAGAGTGATGATATGGAGGTCAATATAGAAGGTACAAGAGATATTGTGGCGTGTGTTGTTCCTTTTTCTGACGTAACTGTGCAGAAACTCCTGTAAAAAGGAGCTTTGTTGAAAAAACTGTGAATGAAATGCTAGCTAATGTAATAAAGTATAAGGTTTGAGCACAACACAGAGAAGAAAAAGGGTTTGTGGGTTTTTTTTGCTGACAATGTTGTACCTGGGCAGAGTAAGAATTCATCTTCACTCCATATGTCACACATTAACTGCTGTTTTTCTCTCTCAGGTACACCAGGTTCAGGCACAACTCTGCAGATCTCGTGGTCGGGCAGTGTGATCGCTGGTCACCCCACCACATTCACCTGCTTGGCCTCTTGTTTTCCAAACTGCGTCTACACCTGGAACTTCAGGGGAAGGGCGCACAATGGGAGCACATTAACTTGGACACCGGATGGACTAGAAGACACAGTGGAACTGGAGTGTGTTGTTTTCAATCCAGAAACACAAGTCTACTCCACAACTACCACCACAGTCCAAATTAAGAGTAAGTGTTTCTTAAAGTATGACTGTTTATATATGTTACAATTCACTTGTTCATTTTTTAGACTGGATTAAAAAACATGGATATTAAATCACAGTAGGAAATTAATTCAGTTAAATATCCTTTGAATGAAGACTCCTATACTTAGGAGGTCTATCCTTTGCATCCAATGTTTAACGTCTGAAATTACATTAGCTGCCAAATATTTCCCATAAGAGCTGCATGTTGTTCTCATGTTTTGTTCAATAATTTTCAGGATTTTACTTTCCTTATGATCCTTAGTTTTAAACTTTTACGACCATCATCTTTGAAGCCATACTAATAACTTAAAAGAGCCCTGAATGCATCTACATTAAACAGTTTTGTGAAATTAACGATAAATTGTCCTTTTTTATATTTGTTGCGTGTTTTGTGACATTATCCAAATAAAGATGAGTTCTTCTACCGAAAACAGCACTGTAATAAATATACCCCCTTAAGTAACGAATGTGTTTAATCACTTTCAGAAGATGTTCATTCATGAGATGACTTGGAGGAATTTATTTCTTAATCAGCTAATTCTTCTCGTTCCTGCATTACAGATCGACTGGCTGTACAAGTCAGTCCTCCAAACAGTGTTCCGTCTCTTAAAAAATCACTGACTCTTGTTTGCCATAATGCTGCAAACAGTGACCCTGAAGGTCCGTCTGAAGTGGTCTGGTACAAAGACGGGCAGAGACTGAGCTTGCATGAAAACATGCAGCTCCAGAGAAACAACCTCTCTCTTCACTTGGACTCACTGCTGCCCTCCAATGCTGGTTTCTACCTCTGTGAAACTCATTCACCCCCTCTGCATACAAGCATTTTCAGCTTGGGCTATCTACTGAGCTGTAAGTATAGAGATGGGGTTCATGAGGTAACCAAGATGAATCTATCGTGAATGACTTTTTGATCTTTCTAATCACTAGTTGATCCGTGGAACGTCAGCATCAGTGGACCAGACTCTGTATATCCAGGCAGATTAAGTCAGTTCACCTGTCTCACCAGCTGCACCCTGAATGTTGAATGCACCGTCAGGTGGGAATTCAGAGGAGGTTTCCCCATTGGAAGCTTCTTTTCCGTAAACGCAAACAAGCTCAGGTGGACTCCTTCAATTCCTGGGACTGTTCAAAACTTCACCTGCGTTGCACAAAACACAGCAGCCGGACGCTCGGCTGAGGCCACCATAACTGTAGAGGTTAACGGTAATGGAAAGGCTTCAGTCTTTGATCCTTTGTATGTTAATGTCAGCAACATGCTGAATTCACTTTAGTGACTTTTGTCTGTTTGTCGCCTACATCCCTAAACAGGAATACTGCTGTCCGGATCAGAAGCTACACAGCTCAGCCCACTTTTTTCAGTGATCCTTGCTGCTGGACTTCAGTTTCTTTTTTATTTATAATGGCCTTTAGCTTTTCCCCTTGTTGAGTATGAATTTAGTTTTTTTTTTAACTTATTATCTATCATTAACAATAAAAAAACAACTTCATGTCAAATCCCTTGACTCATTTGCTTTATCATGACCATGATCAAGATCTCAGGTAATAATAAAGTAATAAGGTAATAAAAACTGTTTAACCTTTAACATGACCCCAACACTGCAGAGGTACGAGCCAATAGTGGTGCTCCTTTATTTATTTATCATTATGTCATTTAATGGCTCAACACAAACGCACTAAATATGTTTGTATTAAAAACATTACGACACAAATGCGTGTGAGCCCTCTGCAAATGAAAAAAACTTGCTCAGCGATTGGCTTCATTCCAATCATAGATATGAAATAATTTCCTATCTTGGATCAAAGTTCTGTCAAAGGTCTTTCTCCACACTGGTATTTGTGCTTGTTTTCTTCCTCACTGATTCCCTTTCATTAGGCCTTGCCTGACCTGGAAGCATAGCTGATTCATTCACATACCGAATGGAGACTAGTTCACTTACACAACACAGCTGTATTAAAATACTTTGGGGAAGTTGCCTCACCTCTAATCTTTCCTTTAACCTCCTAATCTTTAAACCGTCACATGAATAAAAAAAAAAAAAAAAGACCTCTTATCAGTTTAAAGAGCGTCCAGTCACTCACCTCTGATTTCAGTTTGTTGTGGACACACTGTTGTAACAAGACCCTCTAACTATAAATCTCACAAATGTGCTACTTGAAGGACAGCTGTAGTTCCCAAAAAAACCTTTTCAGACCAACGATATGCCAAAAAATGCCAGCTGTCACGAAGGGAGAGGCGGGGAAGAACCTGGACAGATCGCTAGTCCATCACAGGACAGCACAAATTAATTAAGTCATGGGAAACAAACATTTGCAGATAGAAATGTAAAAGCAATGTTTGGGAGCTTAAGAGGAAATGTGATAGAGATATAAAATTACAGAAACAGTGGATTCAACATTTTTCTTAAATTAACATCTATAGTTTTTAAACACCAGACAGCATCAATAATCTTTGGATTCTTCTAAATAATCATATCCAATAAATGTGTGCATTCTTTTCAGACTTCTTTTTATTTCTTTGTTGTATCCTCAGTAAATGTTATAAACGGTTGGCCAGAAGGAGGCACTGTGCGCTCATGAACATCAGATATGAACAGGGCATGGAAAAGTTGCTACCAACAGGAAATTGGTGAATTATTCCATATCAAAGGAAATTAATTAATCAGAAGTTTAGTTTAGTTTAGTGTTGTTTAGGTAATATAGAGTACAGTAGTTTATCTTTATTTTATTTTATTTTATTTTATTTTAATTTAGTTAGTCCAAAGATCACTATATGAAGACAGAATTGTGTAAGACGTGAACTCTAATATCATCCGCTTTGGGCTCTCTGCCAAGCAAAACAGGATGTTCCTGCTCTTGTCTGGAACAAAAAGTTCCTGTAATCTGGGTATTCTATTGTATAATACAACAAAGATATGTGGGCATCAAACAGAAACCAGCCTCATCTTCGGCTCTTAATATTCACTTGTTTTGTCTCACAGCATGCAGTGAACCTGATTAAATCTAATATGTTTTTTTCTTGCTCATGCCTTCAGGCACAGGGATTTGCATGTAAATAAATATCGGCATTTGCATTAGAGCAACTTCCAGGTTTTCATTGAAGCACAGAAGGAATTGTAACAAGGCTGTCTAATCACATATGCCATGCCAATGAACAAACAGTTTTCTTAGGGAGTGCTCTTGAAAATTTAATGAAGGAATGAATGGCTGAAGGGGAAATTATTGTAGTGGAATAGCCAGGTAGAAAAATACCTGGCTGTGTTGTTCATTCATGATGTGGCCAACAGCAACAGATAGCAGTTACATGTATTAATGAAGAACCTTCTCATTGAACTCTCATTAAACTGAAAAGATGTCATCTTTCCAGTGTATCTGGTTGCTCAGGGGAGGACCAAGGGTTCTGTTGTTCCCCATTTTTTAAATCAGGATAAAGATAGCATTAGGTGTAATGCTTGACCACCAAATGTTTTAGATGTGAGAACTGAGATATATTGTGAGCCGTGCAAACAGAGGAGGAACTAAAAGAATACAGCGCCCTGTGATACTGATCACAAACGCAACCATTCAATTCTCATGAAATGCGGTCTGTTTGTGGAAAACAGCTGAAATACGACCAGGCTGTGTTTTCTTTTTTTCTTTTTTCTTTTTTTTTTTTAGCAAGATGAACAGCTGAGCACAATCACATCTCAGGATCGCTCAACACTGTTTTTTTTGGACTGTGTGAGAGAACCATACATGTATGGGCCTCATAGAAAAGCCCCACCCTGGTTTTAAACTAGGAACCCTGCGGCTGTGAGGTGACAGTCCTGAAAACAATGGCACTGTGTAATCCCTGAAGATGTTTTTTTTTTACTAAAGAATTTGACTGAATATAAAGATGTCATGAAGTGGTTAGCACTGTCACCACACCACATGTTCATGTGGAGTTTGTATGGTCTACCAGTGCACCACAGTGCGAACAGAAGGGTTTTTTCAAATTCACAAATGTGTGTCAATTGTTTGTTTGTTGATCCCCTTTGTCCTGTAATGGACTAGTAACCTTTCCAGGTTGTGCATAGTTGAGAATAAAATAGCAGGCCTTTATTCTGTTACCCATTGTTACCTTTGTTATCTTCAAAAAACTCTATAGCGATCAAATATTCTCTGTATCAACACTGGTGCACACCTTTACCGGAATTTGCAGCCACACAGTTCAAATAATACCTCAGGTGTTGCTGAAGTCTTTTGTGAAAGCCACAGTTGTTTGCCTGCTTTACGTGTAATATGATGTAAGCAGAAGGCCTGAATGTTAGAAACAGATAAGAGACTCATTGTTTGGACTGTGAGACTCAGGGTGGTTTGAGAAAAAACACAGTTAAAAAAAAGAAAAGAAAAAAGTTTTTATCCTTTTCTTTATAGCGACTTGCTAGAACTTACTCGAATGAAGGCACAGAACAGATAGAATTCCTGAAATGTAATAAAAAGCTCCAGTATATCCAACTGAATTCATTCTGAATGCAAACCATTTGGGAATATGTGAAGTATTGTTGTGGAATGTTTGTCTTTGACTCTTAGTGTCTTATGTCAGGCATAAAAAACGAAACATAAGCATGGAAAAAGGAGAAAAATAACCAAATCCAACATGTGGGAAAAGGGTATGTAAAGGCGTATAAAAAATTACAATAATCTTAATATCTTTTAGTTACTGAGACATACAACATGAGGTTAAACTAATATATCATACATTCCCTAACTAATCATGACCCACATAGTTTCTGTCATAATTAGTCATTTGACAAAACTTCCCCCAGAGGGGCAAACAAAAATGTTATCACTTTGTGTAAGTTTGTCAAGACTGGACACCAAACATCCCAGAAACACCTGCAGATAAGAAGAGGGTTTCTGCTGTGTGGGTAGGGGGCTGGAAATATCGCCGACCAGTATAACTGGGGAGGGATGCAAGACTTTTATCAGAGCACAAACAAAATGGAGAAGAAGCTTGACGGAACCTCAGTGATCGCTTTTCTGTTTTTAATGCACAGTAAGCCCTGTTCGATTTACAATTTTCTATTTTAATGTGACTGCAAGTGTATATATTTTGTGTATTTTTTAGATTATTTTCTCTTTTTCAGGTGTTTTAGCCGTGGAGGTGAAGCCTTCCATCAATCCTGCTGTAGTTGGGGGCACGGTGACACTGTCCCTGTCTCCTTCAGTGACATTAAAAGCCGGAAGCTGGGCTGTGGGAGAGTCCCAGATCCTCACCTGGCTGGGGGACCAGCAGGCAGTTTTCTCCGGTTACACTGGCAGGGCGTTTGTTAACACCACCACCGGAGCGCTCACCTTGAGCCTGCTCTCCATAGAGGACTCAGGACTCTACTGGGTGCAGAGTAGTGATCCCAAGCTGACAGCGAGGGCCTCTGTCTCTGTTGTGGGTGAGAAAAATCAGACGGTCTTTAAGAGGCGTTACAGGTCATGTTGGTTTGCTCATTACAGTTCAATCACTGCAGCGTTTCCAAAGCATTACAGAGCAAAGCAAGAACACACATATTTCAACTGTAAATACTAAGACTCGTGGCGGGGGGGGGGGGGGGGTGAGTTAATACACGTTCCTGCCATGTGATGTTTCATAACTACGGATCTTAAGAGCAGGGCCCTCATCAAATGGACAAGCTGTGTTTTGGTTTTGCTGCTCTTGGCGACATGATCATGACTTCAGGGTAGTTTCAGTCAAAACACACTTTTATTGAGCTTTCTTTGCATTGTGTACATGACCATTCAGCCTAGTTAAGTTTCTGGTTTTGGTGAGAGAATATATTTGTCTTAACTTTATTTGATATATTTACATTGTTTTAAAAAAAAAAGTCTTCTGCAGTAAATTGTAATTGTGGTCTATATGATATGGTAAAGACAAAACACAGTTGGAATGACATAAAATGTGAAGAAACTTGAATATTGCTAAAAAAGTCAATTACTTTTAAAGAAGTTGATGGAATGTGTTGGTATTTACAGCATTAGTTAAAACCATATTAATATTTTATTTAATTTAGATGTGAGATTAAATTAATTGAACAGAGTTTGGGTTACACAGAGGTAATTTGTTTTTTAGCAGAATACATTTACACAAAAATCCCTCATGAGATCTGTAGCTTTAACATCTTGTGTTAGTTAAGCTTAAAATTTTGTAAATTATTAAAACCCTCAGATTTTAAGTATAATTTAATAATATGAAATCAGCATATCACTTTATAAGTGCTTCAGCAAATGTCTGACATAATGTCTGTTTTTTATTGTTTTAAATCATTTTGGCTTCTTTGACATTTGCTTTGGTGGAAAAAACATAATCATATATTAACACTGCCTTTTTGGCATTGAACAAAACAGTATCACTGCTGCATCTTATTTTGTGGGTGAAGCTCAGGCCTGCCCAGCTGTCATGATCAGCAGTCAGTTCGTGATCATTTTGACTCATTCCCTGATGTTCCACAGAACCTGTTTCAAACGTGTCAGTCAGCGTAAATCAATCCTGCCTGACTGAGTTCCAGCATTCAGCGCTCATGAAGTGCTCCATGTCCACCGGGTCCTCCCTCCGGGTCGTCTGGATGAACCGCAGCTCCGAGGTCACAGCCAGCGACAGAGTTCTGCTCAGCCAGGAGAACTCCATGCTCACCATACCTAATGTGACCCGCTATGACTCTGGGCCGTTCAGGTGTTCTGTTTTCAATCCTGTCAGTAATGGAACCAGTGATGCGGTAAACTTTATCATCAGCTGTAAGAGAAATTGTTATATACTAACTAGTATTATTTATTCTTTTTAACAGCTAAATTAGAGAGCATGACTTTCGTGTGTGCCCCTCTCTCTCTTCCCCAGATGGTCCAGATAACATGGCTCTCACTGTGAATGGACTGAACATCTCTTTCTTTGCAAGTGGATCCAATCTAACCATGCTTTGCGCTGCAGACTCCAACCCTCCAGCTCAGCTTCAGTGGGCTTTCAGAGGAAAACTGCTGAACAGAACGGACACATTGCTGAAGCTGCATTATGTTGTGGAGGCCCAAAGTGGTCCATATTCCTGCCTGGCCTTTAACAACCATACCCAAACACACAACCACATAACCACACACATCGTGATATCAAGTAAGTTTGGCTTTTCAGTGAAAATGTAATCAATTGCTTTTGGATGTTCCCAGTCCTCATGTTATGGTTTTGTGTCTGTAGATTCTGGATCTGAGCACCAGGCACTAAATGTGTTGCTTTTTACTCTGCTGTCACTGGCTGGACTCGGCCCCTCCCTGCCAGGCAAGATCAATTAAACACAACATAGAGATTTACATTTACTTTAAAGTTTAATAAGGGATGCCTGATTTTCTTAAACCAATGTAAAACATTGAACCTTTAGCTAATACAAGAAAAAACTTGTTCATGTTTAGGAAATAGGAATAAAATTCTAACAAATTTGTTATGATATGCACATCCTGATATGAAAAGTTACACATAATGATATAATAAATCTATGTCTCTTTTTTACAGATGTCTGCCACTCATTCAGACCCTGACTGATGCAGTGGGGACAATCTCACATCAACTTTGTTTAACACCACTTGTCAAGGATCGCAATTTGTAACATTTTGTGTGTGTTTCTGTTTCACATGTTGAAATGATACCTAAAGAAAATGTGAGCTTAAACTGACGTTTAAGATGATATTTTGGGTTCTGCTTGATGACAGTGTACTAAAGTCAGATCAAAGGTGGAAGCGAATACATGAAGTCCCACATTACCAGAAATAAACTAGGTAGAAAATGGGCAAAAGTAATCTTTTCTCGCAACTATTTTAGAGTAAACTATGTGGAGAAAAGTTTCTCAAAAGTCACAAGGTGTTACTAGAACTACTAAGCATAATTGTTGTGTCGTCATGCCATGTTTTCACTCAACAAAGTACTTATGAAACACCTCCAAATAAATCAGCTCTAACACATTACATATTTCACAGATTTATAGTGGACACTGACATTATGACTTAAAAGAGCCAAATGAATACTAGTGTAAAATCTGAAAAATCCCTCTGCTGAAGTTCAAAATCATGGCTCTTAATACACGTGAACTTAGGCTCAGAGACAAATTATGATGAGCAATGGATGAGGCCTCTCTCTGCGTAACAAATGAGCAGCATGGCTCACGTCTCTTCAGCTGTCATGAAATCAATTGGATTTCTTGCTCTTTTGATTTGACAACAAAGGTCTGGGCCTGCACTGACACTCAAACGAGACAATTTTCTATAAATGGTTTGAATTAATATTATCTTAAATGCTATTTTCTGAAGGAGTAGTTTAAAGTGTTTTAACATGTGTACCTTTAAGGTGATTAGCCTATAGCCACAAACACATAAAAAAAAACAAGTATGTAAACCTGGTGACAGTTTTTTTATTATTATATAGTATCTGATGTGTAGTAAATCAAACTATGTATGTTTTGAGCAATAAAAAATTATCTTTGACCTTTCACATGATCACTCTTTTCATTCAAAATTCTATTCAAATACACAAATTGATCTTACAAGGCTGTCTTTTATGCTGCCATAACAAACGAATGCATTCAATGCAAAGCTGCCCCTCTGTATTGTCTTTTATATGGTCTTAAACAATATAGATTAATGGCCTTCAATGTTCTCGCAGTTATAGCCTTAAACGATTATTCATTGCCTGTTTGCTCTTTCTGTTTCAAAATGACTGGCAGGGTTCAGTAAACATTTTAATGGAAGTTCAATTCAAAGAATCAGTTCTTTTGTTCAAACTGGATTTTACTGGATGAATATACAGTCAACACCCTGGCGAAGGAAGATGTCCAGTATGGCAAATAGAGAGTCTGTTGCCATGATACACATTAGGTCAGCCTTGATTTTTTTTACCTCAACTGTTTAGATCATTTGAAAATTATCCCAGAGGCAATGAACTTTGTTTAAATTGTTTTCTTCACCTGGTGTTTAGAAAGCAACCGGTGCTCCACATTAACTTATTCCAACCACAAAATAATTCAGTTTTGATCAAAAGCGTGTGATGTGGCTTCATCGTTTTTTCCATTTTGAGGCACAAAAGGACTTCATGCAGTTTTCTGGTAAGTTAAAGTTGCAACACAACAAACTGAAGTTTACAGTAAATGGACACTCCCAGGTGAGCACCTGTATACCATCAGTTTAAGAGGGCAAAACAAGGCGTGACAGAGTCTGCCATAGTGATGGAGGGTTGAGGGAAAGCATTTGCATTCAGGAAATAGAGAGGTAGTGTGATGCAGGGCAAATATTTGCCATTGATAGTGCAGCAGGTGAACACTGTCAGATTTGTATCTATCGAAGCAAGCATTCAGTCTGATTAATGAACTAAGAAGTTTTGGACTGAAGAGAGAATGAAAAGCAAAATGGAGTCCACATGGCTGTTTTTCCTAATCCTGACCACAATCATTTTTGCAGGTAAATTTGAGCAGTTTAAATGTGCCTTTGCTGTACATTTCAAAATTTTCTGTGTACTCTTCTCCAATTTTTCAGGAGATGGAGAGATTAATTCTATTTGCTTGGTGTCTGTTTTTAGATAATGTGCAAAGTCAGCACATACATGCCTCCAAGAACCCTGTAGCTGTGGGAAGCAACGTCACTATTTTCAGCACTGACACTGTGCAATTGGGATCTTGGAGGTTCAACGAGAAAACGATCGTGTCCATTTATCCAGGAGGAGCTGAAATTTTTATGGACAGGATAACATTTAATTCCAGCACGTCATCCCTGACCATAGAGTCAGTGACATTGAACGACTCTGGAGTGTACATGCTGGAGAAACTGAGAGAAGATGGTTTCTTGGAGAAGTTAGAGCTTTCGGTCCAAGGTAAAAGCAAAGCTTTATACACAACCATGCACATGAACCCAAGTTGTCCTCCATTGTGCTCCGGTGAAAGCTGCTAATAAAAGATGGGCAGATATTGTTTCTAAGCTATTTGCAAGGCAAAATGACAGCACTCATAGCTACAGTTTAGATACGCTAATTCATAATAATCTTTTTGTTTTGGGGGGAATTTATTAATTTTGGACAGATTTTTTTCAAGATGTTCCCTCACCACAAATAATGCTCCAACAATGTTGAGCTTCGGTTCTCGGGAGGATTCAGTTCTCAGTAGTTCTGTTGCCCTTCTTGCATTATTTGGTGATAGTTTAAAGTGCTACAAGAAGTTCTTGCTTCGTGGGGGAAAAATAAAGAAATTAGGAATGCTCTAAGACTTTCAGAATACTGTATAGTTGCCTTTATTAGACACATTGAAGTCCGGCTCATCTCAACTTAACAAGACTTAGCTGAGGCTTTATTATAAATTTTTAGTTAGGCTATCAATTCATTCAATAACCTGACACTGGCTTTCACCTTCGAATCATCATATTTAGGGTCACGTTTCTCCCTGTTGCAGGTCACTACTTGTGGCAAATGTTTTGACCGACCTGTTATTTCATGTTTCAATTCTTAATTCACTTACTTTGTTTTCGATACCCAATTTTGATGATAGTTAAACCACAACAATGGTGCCAGTAATACAACTTACCTTTAAAATTGTTTGGATGAATAATCCTAAATACATTGTGTTGTGGTTAAATCAAATTTAGTAGATGGTCATTGATGAACAGCATTACTATCATCTATTTCAGAATAGTACAGTACTGTGTTGTATTTAAAGTCGACACAGTACACGATTGGCCACAAACTGACAATTCTTTCCATTTGATGCTGCCATGATAAATGTGGCTAAAATCCTCCTTATGAATCATTCAGATAAGTCCGATTTTACAAAGGAAATTGCTTCTAAAACCTGACAAATGTCTTGTTTTTGTCTCTCCACAGTGCCTATTTCAAATGTAACTTTGCAGGCGAAAGCCAATAGTCTGGTGGAATTCAATGACACAGCAGTCCTTAAGTGCTCTGCAGCCATTGGGACATCTTTGTCTTATGAATGGATGAAGGACAACACCACAATCACAGATGGAGTACAGTTCAGCAGTAATAAAGATACTCTTACCATAGCTAATGTGACTCGCGATGATATGGGCCAATACTCATGCATCGTGTCAAATGGACTGGGAAATAAAACGACCAACATTGTATATCTGAACATCAACTGTAAGTAGTGTTCAAAATGTCTGCACATATAAGGATATGTATTAAGTTGGCTAAAATCCAAACATGAATCTTTGTGTCATCAGATGGACCAAGTCACACAACCATAATGGTCATGCCCACAATGGAGGTATACAAATCAGGATCTAACATCACACTCTCGTGTGCAACTGACTCAAACCCTGAGGCAACGATTCAGTGGATGTTTGATGATAAGAGCCTGAACCACAGTGACCAAACGCTGCAACTACAAAATGTTGCAGAGAAACAAACAGGACTTTACAAATGTGTATTTTACAACTCTGTCACATTAAGATCCAGCAATGTTAGTGCAAGGATCTGGGTTATGGGTAAGCCTCTTTATTTTTGGTCAGTTGTGGGTTGTTTTCTAACTTTTATAGTGTATCAGCATTATTTTAGGGTTATTTTCAAGCTAATGACATTTTATGTATTGGTGAGACACTAAAGGCAACATAGTTATTCAGCCTCCATTTTAACATCGCTGACTCAGCTCTGTTGTAAGGTTAAAAGGAAAGGTCAAATATTAGCCACCATATTCATTCAGCCAATGTACATTTGTGAATTTAACCCACGTTGTTTTTTATCTTTTTACAGATCCTATATCAGCAGTTGTTATACGTCATGCCAGTGGCCCAGCAATACTTCATGAATCCTTCACTCTGAAATGTGACGTGACAGGACCTGTGGACAGCATTCAGTGGATGAAGGATGGAGAAATCATTTCTGTTAAAAACAGAACAACCTTTGGAGAGGGCAACAAGACACTGACTCTTAATCCAGTTGAACATTCTGACGGTGGATACTATAAGTGTTGGGCTTCAAATCGTGTCAGCAACATGACCAGCGCCCCCTTTGAAGTCCAGGTTAACTGTGAGAACATGGCTTTTTTTTCAACATAATTCACAAAAACAAAAGATAATAATTTGGCCACATTGAGTCTATTCATAATCAGACAGAAGAACAATTACAAAACATACCAACATTTCCAATGTTTAAAAAAATAAGGCAATTCTTTGTCTGGAAACTTAAGCCTTCATGTTTTAATTCTGAATAAATTAAAGCATTATTCATGTGTTTAGATGGACCAGAGATGCCAACCATCACAGGATCAAACGTGGTGAAGAGAGGAGACAATGTGACACTGAGATGCAACGCTAAATCAACCCCAACAAGCTCCTACAAGTGGCACTTTGATGGGGATAACGTCTCCAATATGTCTGAATATGTCACACCTCCTCTTACCAAAGAACTGAGTGGGAAGTATGTGTGCATGGCCTTCAACAACATAACCGGCAAAAACAGCTCCACCTATATAATGATAACAGTTGTTGGTGAGACTTGAATACGTACATTTTATTAATTTTAAGATGAAAGACTCTCTGAAGAGATCTGAGTGCTGTGGTTTGGTTTTGTCTCCAGACCCCATAGAGGAAGTCAAAGTTAAAGACCAAATGAAAGCAGCTGTGGAAAACTCTTCATTCAGTTTAATGTGCGATGTGACTGGAGATGTTGATCACATACACTGGATGAAGAATGATGAATATATCCATGGAAACGACACAACACAGCTCACCAATGACAACAGGACAGTCCTGTTTACGGCAGTGAAACGCTCTGATGCCGGACACTACCGGTGCATGGCGAAGAACACTTTTGGAATGATGACCAGTGATCACTACATGCTTGTTGTCAACTGTGAGTAAAATGGTCAAAACATTTTTTTGTTGCATGGTATTCAGGATTTTCATGATATTTAACACAATCTTAATTTTTACGGGTGAATATTTCAAATATTAAAATCAGTTCATATCTGCTTGCTTAGATGGACCAGAGATGCCAACCATCACAGGACCAAACGTGTTGAAGAGAGGAGACAATGTGACACTGAGATGCAACGCTAAATCAAACCCATCAAGCTCCTACAAGTGGCACTTTGATGGGGATAACGTCTCCAATATGTCTGACTATGCTACACCTCCTCTTACCAAAGAACTGAGCGGGAAGTATGTGTGCATGGCCTTCAACAACATAACCGGCAAAAACAGCTCCACCCACATAATGATAACAGTTGTTGGTGAGACTTGAATATGTACTCTTATTAAGGTTACTTGTAAAGATAAAAAGAGCTAATGAGATCTGAAAGCTATTTTTCCCCCCAGATCCAATAGAAAAAGTAGAAGTTGAAGGGCAGATGGAGCCTGCTGTGGAAAACTCTTCATACAAATTAATGTGCACTGTGACTGGAGATGCTGATCACATTTACTGGATGAAGAATGATGAACATCTTAATAGCAGCACAATCATTTTCTCTATGGGTAAGAATATGGTCACGTTCATGCCGGTGGAACGATCTGATTCTGGAGAATACCAATGTATGGCGAAGAACGCTTTTGGAAACATGACCAGTGATCCCTACAACCTTGTTGTTAACTGTGAGTTTTAAAGTATTATACATTTGTTTTATACAACAATATATTATCCAACATCATCTGTTGTAAAACAGCTGGTATCAGAGTGTTCTCCTTTTGCAGATGGACCAGAGACACCCATGGTTGGAGGGCGACCTGCAGCTGAAACAGGAAGTTATGTTGACTTTACCTGCTCTGCCGTGTCAGAGCCGCCAAGTTACTTCACTTGGTGGTTTAATGACACCCAGGTGGCAAATACCTCAGACTTCACAGCTGGCCCTATGACTTTAAACATGAGTGGAGAATACACCTGTAAAGCCCACAACCCTGTGACGAGACAGAACAGCACAAAGTCCACATCACTCACAGTCATAGGTGACTCAACAATGGCCGGAACAAAAGGATCCATTTTAACCAAACCAATGCCTAACTTTTCAAATAACATGCACCCAGAATGTCTCCCTGATAATTTTGTTCTGTGTTTACAGAGGCAATGGAGTCAGTGAAGGTCCAAAACAAATCAACTCCAATAAACCAGCAAAACTTCACTCTTGTTTGTGAGGTTGTCGGGCCCTACAACTGGACCTACTGGATGAAGGACGGCATGTACCTCAACACGAGCACTATGGGCCAAAACATGTCTTATTACGTGGAGAAGAACATGCTTCACTTCACTCCTGTGACAAGGGCCGACGACGGGACATATACCTGTATTGCTGTCAATCAGGCTGCCAATCATTCAAGTGTGGAGTACATACTCCAAGTGAACTGTGAGTTCTGGAGAGAAATTTGTTCAAAACTATTTCTTGGAAGTTTAAACTTTCGTCTGAAAATGTTGCTGGAAAGAATATTAATAGTTGTGTTAGTGTTAGTGTTAGATATGCCAGCTTTTATCATCCTCTCAACAAGAGTTTTATGTTTCATAATGAAAATTATTTGCTAAAATAATTTTACATAAAAAATTACTCACAGCTGTATTAAATATGATTGAATAAATTAGCAAATACGAGAACTGAAATGTATCAATTGGAGGATTTCAGACCCTCGTTTTGCTGACTGTAATTCTGACTCTTCTCTGTCTGCCTCAGATGGTCCTGTGAGTGTGACCATCTCTGGCCCTGTTGTAGGAGAGCGCGGTGACCCTATATCCCTGTCGTGCTCAGCTGATTCTCGACCAGATTGTGAATTCTACTGGTATTTGAACAACCACTTGATGTCTGAGGCAGTTGGATCTGTTGTCTCGGTTTTTAACATTAATGAGTACGTGGGGAACTACACATGCGTGGCGAAAAACCCAGTGACAAACATCACAATGTTCCAGCATAAGACTTTAACTATTCCAGGTGAGTATGTTGTTTCTGCTGTATTACTGTAATAAATCTTAATCTACTTGTCCCACTCAACTGATTTTATACTGCCAGATAAACTGACATTAGTCCTCATAATTTCCTCTAGGTCATGCTTCAACCATCCACCTCCCCACCCAGGGAGGTCTGATGATGATGGGCATGTTTGCTCTCTCTGCCCACATGTTATTGCGCTGAGTCCTCCACACTGAGGACTCACTCCACCCAGCCTGAGAGGCTGCAGGAACATGGGGGGAAAGACCACATAACCATATTATTTATGTTAGATTGATTGAAAGAAATGATTGTCCAATCAAGCTTTTGCTTTTTAACTTAAAGGCCATAGTTTTGTAGAAAAAAATCTGATTAACTGTGATGTCATAACTTATGTTTTCACTGAATAAGGAAATTCAGCCAAACTAACACTTACATTGTTTAACAGTGAAAATTGTTATCCTATTCCTCTTAAATGAAGTTCTTTGACATCAAATGTATTTATTCATTTAGAGCACTTTTTCTTTGTTTAGAATGATATTTTAAAAAATTATACGTTTGACTTTTGCTGTGTGCTGATTTACTGTAATTACCAAGTAATCAATAAAATTCCATAATTGATTTTATGGACTTTATTTACAAGGTTACAAGTCTTCTTTGCCAGTATCTGTACTGGCAAAGAATCAGCTTACAATCAGCTTCATATACACAACTTGGTTAAAGAGAAATTGTGGTTATAACAACGTTTGTATAAAAACATGCAGAGTATACAGTTGGATTTGTTTTGCTGCTCATATGGGGACACTGGGAACATAGGGTGGTTTCATGGCAAACATCTTGCACCGCTTCATATTCTTATGTTTGTCCAGCCGACAGAGTGATTTCCCTTGTTGTTGAAAATTACCAAACAGATGAAAACACAAAAAGCATTCATTTAGAATATTGTAAAAATCTTCCAATTAATATATTTTAATATCACATTTAGTTTGTTCCTTTTCTTATTGTCTTTTTACTGAATGCAACTTACATTTTTTCTGGATGCGTTTGCTGGACTGTTGGCAGTGGCAGCGTGTGTTCACCATCCCTCCCTCTAATCCTGGATGGCCCGAAAGCACAAAAAGAGAGGAGCCGAAGGGTTTTGATACTTACGATTTAAAAAACAGATGCATACACTCAGTCAAAACCGTCCCTATTGTTCTTTTCACCTTTGCAGAAACATGGTCTTTTGGGGCGTCTGATTGGACGTGAGGTTGTCAGCAAATTTCCATCAGGAGAAGCTACAAAGAAATCTTTATCAAGCTTAAAGAATATAAGTTGTATTTAGTCAAAATGTAGTTATTTTGATATGAAATACATAATGAATGCGCAATACGAACTGCCCTGTATCCGTGAAATTATTCTCACATACCATCAGCATGAGGTTTGTTTGTTGGGGATTGTTCAATTGCCTCCGGAACCCCTTTGCAAAAGAAAAAAACGGACAACAATAACAAAATCACAAAAAATACATTCAAAGATACTTCAGGATCAATCAGATACATGATACACTACCTTGACTGTGATCAGTGAATGCAATCAGTACAAGAACTGACATTAAAAGCAAATTTTGTCCCATGTTGGCATGAACTTCGTACAACGCTGTTGGTCCAGGGAAATGAATGCACTGCTGGTCGATCTGGTTCTTTATAAAGGATGGTGTTGATTTCTGAAATAGTATCCACGGAACATTCATCATTTGCCAGTGGTATGAAACATGTCCCAACCATCACATTTACAGTCAGTGGCTGTGACTAACACAAACGTTGGGCCATTGCCAACAAATCTTCTCTGTATTTTGTTTGAAAACTTATTTCTGTGAGAAAATGAGATCCCAGATTAACATGATAATGACCTGGGAAAAAGAAACAAGAGGATTTGATTGCCAGACCTGTTTGTGTTGTAATCTGAATTGAAACCATATCCACAGGGCTATGTGATATAACCAGGTATTAGGTTGACTAGATGAGTGAGTCATTCACATTCTTTAATGGAAGTTGGCATCATCTTTTGCCCTGGGCAGGAATTAATTCTACTTCTCCATAAATCTGGCAGATAGCAGGTCATGGGGATGTGAACCCCATGCTCATTTTACCTGTTGTTAACATGTACTGTTTTGGTAAAAACACTTTATACTCCAAGAAACGAATGGCCCTTCACAGGAGCATGAGCTCTACCAGTGGATGAACATCTAACCATTATGTCAGAACGTATTTTTTATATTGTGATGTGTCAGAAAAGGTGCCAGTTTCTCAGCTATATTAATGGGGGCAAAACGAAGCTTGTTCTCCCTCGTAATATTTCAGAAATGCGCCATTGTGTTTCCAGTCATATCCAGGACAGGAACAAACCAGCCAGACTCTCAGATTATGTCCACATGGCACGAATACTGTTTATGTCCTCTTACTGAACCGGACTGTGGTTGATCAGTCTTTGACACCCAGAGGTGTTCTGCATCTCTGCCTCTGTGGCAGTGAATAGTGTCCTTTTCAGGGAACGGATCTAGTAAATCAATCAAGGGACAAAGAAACTACTTGTTTTGAAATTTAATGCATTTCTTTCACCACTTGTCATCCTGGACCATATTTCAAGTTCTGTAGCACAGCCCTCATCCAAGAGGAGCTCCAGCTCATCAGAGGAGAGTAAAGCATTTTAAAAAGGTCGAATGAGACGATATGTTGTAGAAAAGAGCAAATTTAAGCACAAACAACTTGACAAATGAATACAGCTTCACAATCTAATCAGTTACATGCTCAACAAAAAAGTCACTCACACAAAACCGCTGCAACTGTTACACAATATGAAGTTAAAACATAAAAAAGGCAATGATGAGCTTATGTGACTCGATGGGAAGCAAACAGGTCGAGTATTTGCAACAGAGACAAAGTCAGAACCTTTGGTTATTGAAATGAACAAATACATAAACAAAAAACATCACAGCAAAGCAATAGACCTTTTTTTTTTTACAGCGCACAAAGAAGTAAAAGCACAGATGTGTCCATTATCTTTAGTGATGGCCGGTTTTGGTTCTCTGCATTCTGTCTTACTTGACCACTTCTACACTTCAATGAGAGACATTGTTAGTGTTCACTGTTACTTCTGTGCTTTTCCTGCAATGAAGAGACAACATGTCTTCCAAGAAAAAGGTCTATGGCCAAATAAATGTTACTCATGGAAGTGATCTGAAAATAGGAAACGAAAAGGACACGATAGCTGTATTTAGTATGTTGGCAGATTCTGGTACACATGTCAGTCCCCAACTATTTCCCAACCAGATCCTGCTCCAGTTGCCTCAGAGAGACAGTGCATTAGTTGGTATCTTTCCTCAGTATCCAAAAGGAGGCGGGAGGAAAAAGAAAAGTCAACCTTTGATTGTTCATGGGAGCTGAAGGGCTGAAATCTGCATCACATGGTTATTATAAATATAACTTCTGTCATGATGCAGCAAGCAATGTGTGACCTGGAGCACGAACATGTGAAAATAAAAATAAATTGTTTATCTATAAAATCTCCAATAATTTTTGACTTTATGACCATTGAACATTCAAATTAATCTAATTTAATCGTATTTTCCTAATTGAGTCGTTATCTGTACTTTGGAGTTGCTCATCATATTCATCCTTCTATCATGTGACAGGAAAATGAAATTATCCTGTAGAGTAAGAATGCTTAGGGAACTACAAGGGAGTGGGAATCGGGGAGGACTTTGTTTCTCTATAGCACAACATACTTACCTTCCGACTTTATTGTAAACACAAAAAAACCTTATGGTCCCATTATCAGTAACAGTGGTCACCAACCCTGGTTATAGAGACAACTTGCTCTTAGCCCTTAACACTTGATCCTATGCAACAATCATAGCTTCAATAAGCCGAGTGCAATGCTCTCTGAAAACAGGGCCGAGGACCACTGCGGTAGTGTATATTTGTAAACTGGATGCTCAGTTATCAGTGGGTTTGTCTAACATGGACTTGACGTGGGCATGCAAAGGTTCACACACAGCTTTGTAGCCATGAGGAGTCAGGTGAAGGTAGTCGTACATGTCCTGGTGTGAGATGCTGCCGTCTGAGAGGACAAAGCCAGGGTCTACATCAAGGAAGGAGGCATGTGGGAGAGAAGTTAAGGCATCCTGGACCAGCTTGTTCACATTGGCGTTTCGCTCTCGCAGAGGGTTTGGCATTTTACCTCTGGGCAGCAAACCCTGGAAACACAGGTGCAATGTCCTTAATATTTACATTTCTCATCAATGTAAAAAGGGCTTAACATTTGAAAAAATGTTTCCCAAAAGGCAAATATCACACTTGCATGCAAATTCAATTTGAAATCATATCAAGTTTCTAACACCAAAGATTCATAAATCACGTCAATCTTCTTGTAAATTGGGACGCAGACATCATTTCAATGCTGAACTACTGCAGTGTCTGTAGAACTCCGTTTACCTTGTTTTAGAAAGCTGAGATGCTGCTAAAAGGGATGACATCACTATGGAGTTTGACGGTTGTGTGAACTTCAATTGTTATTTTCAACCAACATGCACTCGAGTGAATTAAAACATCCTAAGGAATGCGTCAGGAAAAAAAAACCTACAAGCACAAGCGTGTGGGCATTGGGGAGCTTGTTCTTGATGACTTGGATGATGGCCATGATACCCCCACAGATCTGTTCAGCTGTGTGGCCGTGGTTGTTGGTGCCAACCCACAGCACCACAACCTGCAACACCAAAGAGAAAGAGGAAAGTCAATGATAGTCAGTGTACCTGCAGTTCATGCACAAAGTGAAGCACAATCGATCTTTTGTGTGAATAAGTAAGCATGGTCCTGTTCTCTATATTTGGCAACGTTTTGAACCTTTGGGCTGATGTTATCCAGTTCACCATTGGTCAGCCTCCACAGCACATGTTGTGTTGCATCACCACCCACCCCGAAGTTCAGGCAGTGGAGAGGAGAGAACAACTGGCGCCATATCTGCAGGCAAACAATAAAATACCAACATTTAAGAAAGACTGACTTGGCTCAAAAGCATATTTATGGAAAAATTCAAATCTTTCAGATCAATGGTGCATTCTGTTATTTTATCAAGCTTAAAATCTGTATCTTGAAGCTATGTTACTATATCACGGCTTATATCTAGTGACTAACTAAAAATATCTTGATGGGCTTTGATAGTAATCGATTTCAACTTGAATATTTTCAAGAATCATTTATTGGTAACAAGAATAAAAAATCATAGTCATCAAATCTACTAAAAGGCCACCTAAATTGGTGAAAATCAGATTACCGATTCTGTTACGTCTCTACATTGAACAACTCCTGGGTTTTATTTTGTTTTTTCTTTCCATTTACACTGTGACAGTTGATCCAGTCAACTCACAGGCCATGAACTATTTATAATGAACGGAGATGCATAATGTCCAGGAAATAGCTTTGGATTCACATATTGCACATTAATTGAGTCCCTGTAACACAATCAGTCGTTGTCTACATTTTTCTGGATCTAACCACAAAAATCTGTGTTTTACCCCAAACTCATGCATGAGCTGAACGAGAGAGTCTCCAACGAACAGAACATCTGGTTCTTTGTCTTTGCTGTCAGACACGAAGCGGTTGTGCTGCAAGAGAAAAAGTGGAAAAATAAGAATATTTTATTATTATTGAGACGGTCTAAAACATCCCATTATTTGCAGCTATAAAGCAAATAAATCAACTGTTTGGTAGTGAACACTGCAGACACTACTTACAAGATTGCAAAAAAAGGGGAACGTAGTTGGCAATATTTTGTTCTGGCGATTTAGGCATTAGAAGTAATATCCTATGTTTAGGAATAACACGTAATCTACCTTCGAATTATTCCTAATTGGCTAGCAAACAACGTTTTTTTCTTCTACAAAAACAGACTCCTATACTCAATCATTCCTCAAATCTGAAACCAGTAAAACTAATGTCACGTTTCATTAGATTGCAGGAAACAAATTATTCATAGCTCATAGGAACAATGATATCTCACATACCATTGATATCCATCGTCCATCTCCCTGGATATCTACACAAGGAGTGGGTGTGGCGGCTGGGTTAGAGTCTTCAGCACTCATGACTTGGCTTTACCTGTCTTGGAAAGCTGTCAAGTAGTGTTTAATATAGTAAGCAAATAAAGCCAACCAAATAATCAATGGCCTAACGCTCAAACTGCTGGGGAAATCTATAGTGGGTCTCTGACTTAGCCACAGAAGCTAGCCTAATGGATGGAACAAAAGATGTCGTTTAAAATATTTAGGTAAGGCGCTCAATTGTTATTTGAGAGACAGTATTGGGCAAAATAAGGAAAGCGGGAGTTAAAAGAAAGAAATATATTCATATATATATGAGAATAAATACGAGCATTAAATCAAAATAACGTTATCCCTCCAGTTCAGCTTCAGGAAGTAAATTTTCATGGTGGGTGCCTGTACCATTATCCTCCACGAGCAAAAAAATCACTGTGTTGAAGTCGTTTTAAGAACTTTTCACAAAGTTTCATTTAACTACAAGCTGCCAAGTTTAATTTAGGATTTTATTAAATAAAAATTAAAAATTGTGCCAATTTGAAACTAGACGGAGTGACTATACATTAAAAACCGTTACCTTCTTATCTGAGGAAATGGATTCGCCCACAGCGTCAGCACTCGGAGTAGTTAATGCTGCGCCAAGAAACGCAGCTGCGGCATGTTGCTGGGCAACGGAAGTTAAATGTGCGGTTTGAAACCACCACAGAGCATTGTGGTAAGCAAAACTCTTCATTTATATATGCATTAATTTGTTTTTTAATAGTTTCGCAGCTTCGTGAAATGGCTCACGTATCCCTCTCTTCCCCTTTTTATACGTGATCAAATCAATTGTTTCTTGGTCACCTCGCCTTCGCAGGTGTAGCTTAATACACGTGTTTCTGGGGTTTAGTTTCACCTGTTGGTTTCACTTGAGGGATGGAAGGATCCAAAAATGTCCGTTATTTCCAAACTCGGGGGATATTTTGTTTAGCTTTGTCGTAAGATTTTTCGTATACTGTCTCTCAGTTGCATGGAATTTGTGAAATATGCAAGGAAAGATTAGGAAAATGTGTATTCTCTTGATATTCTTTAGTAATTTATGTACAATAAGCAAAGTGAGGATTAAAGATAAAGAATCACGTTGATTTGGACATATATATGCAATAAATTTGATATTGCCATGAAAATGTAAACTTATTTCCATGAAATATATTCACCTTATGTTGCTCATTTTTCATTTTCATTTGAAGACCCACCCTGGTAACAGTTCCTTGAATAACTTCAGAAGAAACCAGTTCAGACCACTTCCAGGAATGTGTGTGGTGCTTCAGTGGTGGTCATAACACCTTTGCACAATTGTGAAAAGCTCCTCTGAATGTATTACGTGTGGTTTAAAGTGTTGTTATCTGGTAGCGCCTTGAAGAGTTTTTGTTTTGCTCACCAGCTGTATGGAAAGTCCTCGGTGCATGTTGTAATGAAGCTGTCTCTCTATGGATGTTGCTTGTTTACACAATCACCTCTCTTGCTCATTAATGTGGTTCGAAATTAAACACAGCAAAACTGTGCTATCCATGTGTTTTTAAGAAAATGCAATTCATGATTTGATCCTCAATTTTCATTAGATGCGCTGATGCTACTTTAGTTGAAGTGGATTGTTACTTTGATGTGTCTGTTGAGGTCACTTATTTCATATATCTCTCAACAGAACCCTTTGAAATATGAGACACACTTGTGGCCGGGACTCGTCAGATAAAGCCGTTATTGTTTGCAAAAAGCAGCCAAAAACAACAGAGAAAAACTGTTGCTCAGTCAAAAAACTGCCTGCAGACAAAGACTTTAGCCATCTCTGTGAGAAAGATGGGCAGCAAAAAATCAAACGCTTGAAAACCCGTAAGGAAAGAAGTCAGCTGAGAGCGGATTGGAAAGAGACTTCAAAGACCAAATCACATATCCGTCACATCTGTCGCCACATCAGCACCGACGTGGCGAGTCTCCAGACCTGCTGTCACTGGAATTCAAAGAAAAATGCATCAATTTCAAGTGCTGTTCCTGCTGCACATGAGCCCAGCATAATCACAGACAGCCGACTTATAGGACACCATGGCCTGTTCAATCACGAGGTGAAATCCATTGACATTGAACGTCTACTTAGTGAGAAAAGCAAATGTGATCAGACTGGACAGCAAGTGAAAGATAAGAATGAGAATACGTCTAACCTGTCTCTCACGTCTCAAATTCTGGCTCCACTTTCCACTGATAGTTTGTTGGTAGTTGATGCTAATGATGATGTGCCATTAAAAATGAAAACTAATCCTACTACAAAGGCCAGCAGTGACTGCCAAGAGACAGATGGGAAAATCCTTCCGTTGGGTAATCCAGGATCTGATATCACACCAGGTCAGAGAGAGCAGCAACATGTTGAGGTCTCATCTGAAGGTGTTAGAAGCATCCTGTCCCCTAAACAAAGCTCGCACAGAGTAGATAAGACAAAAAGCACCAACCATGTTACACCTGAAAAGGACAACGAGTCACAGCAGACCCCTTTTACTAAGAGAGGCCTTGCGAAGACGTCAAACAGGAAGGTGAAGAGGCGCATTATTTCTGGTCTTAATCAGCCTGAAGAGAACCAAAGTCAACAAACAGATGATGACAACACAAGTCCTCTTCAAATGTTCCTCTCTGCCACTTCTGACGGCTTTGATGCACAGCACAGAGGACCAGACTCGGAGGACATGTCAAAGTCTGTCAGTGCTCTGGCTTCGCGTTTCAGTGAGTGTTTGAGTGTCCCACATCGGACAAGGAGGAACCTGGTGTCAGAGTGCAGAGCGATACTGGCCAAATCCATGCAGGAGAGCCACGGACCCAGGCTACAAGAAAACCTCCATCAGGTGCAGCAGTGTGTGAGATTTGGTGTGGATCCCACACAGGCTGTCCCAGACCAGCAGCCTGAAAAAGATGTCTTTTTGTTTCCAGGTAAAACATACACGCTGAAAAAGATAAACTTGGAATTGTCTTTAATAAGTTATACGATCATCATATTTTCAAATTCTGTTAAATGATTCAAAGTTCATAATCAACTGATGCTGATATTTTATGTTACTGCTAATTTTGAATGCAGTGGTATGTCCTATATTAAAATCAAATACCTGAACCGCTACACTCATCATAATTTTGGTATAGATATATCCATGTTGTTTTTGTTAAACCTGAGGATGATTAAATGACAGCATTATCCCAAGAATAAGATTTTTTTTTTTAGTTCATTCAGCTGCCTAATGCTGGCGTAGGAACATAAGAGTGCTTTGTACACCTGATCTACATGGTTTCACAGCAGTCTGTGCAGTTATCAGCTTACTCTAAAAAAGCGGTTGTAAGCTGTCAGTTCACCTACAGTTTTCAGTTGCGTTTCCTTCTTTTCAGACACACCTGTCCAAACAACAAGAAGTAGGCATTTTAACTGGAATTCCAGGTCATGTGAGAGTCAACAAAAGGTAATACTTCACAGACTTTGCACTTTAACGTTGGGCAGAAGGGCAACATTTTGTAATGATGTTTTTTTGTAATGTTAATCAACCAATTTTCATCTAAGGATAGTAGAAAGCTGTCTTCTGCTTCTACCCATCACCTTAATGCAGTTTTGTGCCTCCCCCCCTATTTTTATTGGGGTTTGAAGTGAAGAATGTTCTATGTCTTTACATCCCACACAGTCAACTGCTCTGCCACATCTTCAAATAATTTCATATAGTGTAATAATTGCTTCCTGTTTTTCATCTGCAGGCACCTGAGTGGTCAACAAAACCTGTGAATGAATCCACTGACCCAGGTTTTTCTACTCAGTTCTACATGGATTTTGAGCCATGTGCAGTCCCGCCAAGTAATGTGTTTGCTTGCTCTCCACCATCCTGTATTGAACGAAAAGACTTTGCCTCTGAGCTCTGGCAAGACAGTGTCAACATGTCAAATGGCAAAGACACAGGCCTATTTGATTCATTTGAGAGCAGCTTTATAAACCCCACCAAAGATTCTGGAGAGAGCAGCTTTGGGCAACAGGACAATTACAACAACATTCAATTCTCCTTTCCTTACCGAGGACAGCTGCTTGACAGACGTTCAGAAAAACCACTGAAAATTGCTCAGGGATACAGCCCAATTGGAACTGGCTCACATGCTTTTGCTTCCTCATTCCCTTCTCAGTTTCACCACATTCCTCAGGGTAATCACTACCAGCCTTTAAGTCAGTTGAATCAGCATTCGACTGGCCCAAAACTCAGGTCCCATCACACTGACATGATGCAATACCCCCCCTCTTACATGCTTGAAAAAAGCCCAGCACCTTCATCTTCATTTCTGAGCCCTGAGCAGTGGTTCTTCCCTCCAATGAGGCTGTACTGACATGGGGTGAAACTCAAATACTCAAGTGTTCATATTTTGTTAGAAATGACATTAAATGTCAAAGCAAAGCTGTCGTTGAAAGTGTACACTATTCTTTTCACCCATTTGTGGATAGATACAGAACCACCCAACTATGCATGGTTTCCATCTTTATGCCTTTTTTTATAATGCAGAACCTTACTTTAGAGACACTAGTGCTATAATGAAAAAAGCCACCTGTTTAGCTGAAGTGGTGCTATTTGGAAATCTGTTTGATCTATTTGTGTGTTGAAAAGGGTGTATGGAAGAGCAAATCTGTTTCAAACATTAAAACCTAAATGATCATATGAAATAAAACTCTATTGTTGAGTTATTTGCTTTATTGATCACTTATTCACTCTGTACATATTCATGACCATTAAAAACAGAATAGTAACATATAATACGTTTTAATTAAATTAATCAAAAACATTAACCAAGACTGTTTTTTCAAGGCAGTAAGTGAGACTTTTCATCAAAATGATTCTCAAAATCTTTATTTTCCACGCTCTCTGCAGCAGCACCTTCGTGAGTTACCACCCTGCTCCCTGCTCCTACTGCCCTGCGCAGCTGGCTCCAGAACAGCTCCTGGGCCTGCAGGGGGTTAATGCAGTCTTGGCCAGGCCATTGCAGATAAGTCTTTTTCAACATCACTTTCCTCATGCGGTGATACGGTGACAGCTGCCTCTCGGAGACCGGCTCCAGAAACACGAGCAGGAGAACGTCTCTGTGCTCGTCAAACAGTCTGTAACTGGCCAGTTGGATTTCCAGAGAACACCACTCGCTTTGTAGAAAGCTCCTGCTCACCACACAAATAGTTTTCCGGCTGCTGTACACTGCATTGACAATGTTGTCCACGATGTCGCGGCCCAGTTCAAAGTCCCTGTGATGCAGGCAGAGTTTAAAAGATGATCCGTTTCCCTCGAGGTTAGGCAACAGCTCATCCATGACCCAGTCTTCATCTGAGGAATTGTAAGACACAAATGCATCATATATGCACTTTTCCTCCTTTTCCCTGATTCTGCTCCATTGTTCGCTAAACCAGGCACGGAATACATAGAAGCCATACTTTATTTTCCAGTAGAGCTTGACATACAGTAAAGGAGTGACTGTAAAGAGAAATATCACGGCTGCAGTGGTAAAGAACAGGTACTCTCCCAGATCAACGTAGCAAACCTTGGTGTCAAAATTGTAAAAGGACTGATTTCTGTCCAAAGGACATTTCAGGCTATGGAGATAGACCACCTGAACATCTGGGTGATTCACACTGTAGTTCTGCAAGAGGCTGTTTTTGCAGGTGCAACTCAAAGGAATATTGCGAATGTCGAGGTACCGAAGTTTGGGTAAACTCTCCAGAGCATCTACTGGAATGCTCTGCAGCACATTACGATTTAACTGAAGGATGCTTAATTTCGAAAGACTCCCAAACACCTCCTTGGAAAAGTTCTGAATCCCCATATTTTCTACAATCAATTTGCTCAGATTTCCAAGGTTTTTGAACACTCCAGGTTGTAAATGTGCCACGCCAACACAGCAGTTGTCAAGCGTGAGGAAACTTAGATTTATCAGATCATCAAAAATTTCAGGACCAAGATGAAAGATGTTATTGTTGGTTAGATACAGAGATCTCAGCGAGTGGAGGCCGCGGAATAAATTGCGAGGTATGAGAGTCAGACCATGCGGCCGCTGACTATCCAGTTTTAGATCCCTCAGTTTGCTGAGATTCGCAAATGGTGAGTCAATTATGTTTTTAATGAAGCGAATCTTGTTGCTTCGTAGATCTAAGACTGTGAGTGTATCTTGAAACACGTGATAATATGAAGTGTCAGTCATTTTCAGATTGTTTCCGTCTAAATAGAGTTTCGACAGGCTTTTCAGGCCATCAAAGCCAGATGGCATAATTTGAGTGATTTTGTTACCTCCGAGGTCCAGTGTGGTTAAATTTCTCAGGTTTATGAAGGTGCACTTAAAAATGACAGAAATACGGTTGTTGCGTAAATTGAGGATTTTCAGGTTGATATTATCTTCAAATGTGTCTCTGTACAAATCAGTCAGCAGGTTATTGTCCAGTCGGAGGGTCTCAAGCCTTTTCAGGCCTTTCAGGGCTTTGTGATCGAGAAAAGCAATGTTATTAATGTTGAGTTTCAGTACCTTGATATTTGGAGTGTGATAGAATGCATAAGAGCAGACTGTGAGGATGCGGTTATAACGATAGCTCAGCTCTACTAACCTTTTGAAATACACATTTACAGTTTTACAGTTTGGTAAAGCGGTGAGAAGGTTGTGTTCTACTGTAAGATTTCTTGTATGTTCGCTGAGAAACTCCAAGCATTTTATTTTTTTCAGATGGTTACGGGATAGATCCAGCTGCCCTGTAATGGCAGGGCAGTGGTGAAGGGATGACTTTGTTAGGTTCCTAATCCCGTTGTCAACCAGTAATACATTATTCATCCTTCTCAGTTTTCTCTTCAAAAATGTGCAGAATGCTACGAGCAGGCTTTCATTTTTTAGTCCGGTGCCAGAGAAATCCACATGACTTGCATTTATGTTGCTGATTTTTAAAAGCTCCACTACATTGATCCTGGTTGAGTGCAAACGCATCCATCTGACATGGCTCAAATCCACTCCCTGAAAAGCTGCTGCAGAGATGTTGCGATTGTAAGAGAAATCCAGCATCTTGACGAACCTCAGAAACGACGGTGCGCACCCCAATGTATGCAGGTTATTTGTGCATAGATACAGCACAGACAGGGATGTAGGCAGAGACGCATTTGAGTGACTGAGAGAGGTCAAATTGTTAAAACCAAGATCAAGCATGGTCAGATTCATTAGATGTGATACAGTTCTGACAATCCCCGAAAAGTCAGTTAGGAGGTTATTCCGCAGCAGTAATCTCTCCAGATTGAGGACACTGGAGAAAATGCTCTCAGGGAGCTCCTGTAACTTGTTGCTTGTCAATGAGAGGAATTTGAGGTTAATCAGGTCCTCAAACAAAGCAGGGCTGAGTTGTGATAATTTGTTTACAGACAAATCAAGAGATTCAAGTTTGTTCAAGTTCTGGAAAGCCAGCTGATGGGTGACGTTCAGCTTGTTTTGAGCCATGATGAGGTTCTGAATGTTTGGCAGGTGAGCAAAGGTGTTGTTGGGGATGCACGACACGGGGTTGAAGGAGATGGTGAGGTTGACTGCAGACAGCGGCAGGTCCTCAATGATTTCAGATATACTCACATTCTTTCGATTGACACACTTGAAACTTTTCCCTTGTGAGTTTGGATCTGCGATGCAGTTCTGAAAGCTGTAGCCACCGATGAGTTGAACAGCACAAAGAGCAATTGTAACCAGTAACACCAGCTGAGTTGGAGAGGCCATTTCATCTCATTAGAGTCCAGTATTTTGGTCCTTTTTAATAGGTTAGATCACTTTTTTTAGATGAACAATGTCCCAAAGCTGTTATGCTGATTGTTGCTGAAAGATCTAAAGAACAGAGAGGAACAAAAATAATATTGCTTATTTCTAAGTATCAATTAATTACAATGTAATCTTATGGCACTTTCAGGAGTGTAATGGACAAACGCTGACAGAGGTTTCTGGTGCAATTAAATTAGAATTTGAACAATTTGATATTTTCATTTTCACTATAAAAGAAACATTAAGTCTGGGTTGCTTTTGAATCAGTATATATCATACAAAATAACAGAAGCCCTTTCCTCAGCTGACTTAAAAAAAAAAAAAACCTCAAGCATTTTGTGTTGCTGTTGTTTGTGTCTTACCAGAGGCAAACTGCAGTTTCTCCCGTTTCTTGTGATGGTCTCACGTAAAAGCATCTAGCTGTGTTTGTCGAGATGTGGAGACGTCCAGATTAAATGTAAAAGCCGTTTCCTCATTTTTTCTGTTCTCATATCCCTGTTCTTTCCCTCTTGATACTCCACCTCCTTCTGTAACACAATGACAATCCTTACATTGCTGTTTAAACATGGCAAGAAGGTGCCTACTGTGAGCTAAAAAAGCAATTAATCTAGAGTTACATCAGAAGGAATGGGCTTTAGGGAGCTTTGTTGTACAGAGAAACATAAGTGCTGTATAAGCACTTTTAGCCAGAAAGAGGAAGGTAGGCTTGAGATGCTCTTCTCCTTTCCAGTTCAATTATAGACATGAAATTTCAGAAAGATGAGCCTACATGCAATTTATTTGTTTTTTTAAAGCACTAAAGTGAACATTTTATATCTCAGCATAGGCCAACACAGATACACAAAGTATTCCTCCTGTATTTGATGCATGCATGATTAACATTATTTAGAATAGAAAATAATTTGGAACAGTGTTTCAGGATTATTACAAGTGTTTCAGTTGCTCCCCATTTGAAACGTAATATTTATTCAAGTTAATAAAGTCAGTGATATTTTTAAGTCGGAGTTTCCCTCCAATTTTGTTGCATGACGTCAACTTCAGCACAATGAGTCGCTGTTGAGCTTCTTCCAGATTTATAAACTCAAATGTTTAGACCAGTTCCAAAACTTCCCCTAATGTCTCCCTATACACACACACATACATGCACACTTAAGACATAATTGTATCATATTGCAGTGAGGTGCAAATCTAAAAAAAGTATACACACACACACACTATATATATATATATATTTATATATATAGGCCATGATGATCCAATCATCACTCACTGAGCCCTGGGGGGAAAAACATAGCAAACTGTAGAAAAATTTCTTAAACGATGACGCGAATTATAGTATTTGGTGTGGCTGGCTTCCCTTTTTGTTGACTCACAGACTGAGTCTGATTGAGATGGGGGGGGGGGGTCACCCTTACATCAATGCGGTATTTGTTGCGCATGCTTCTCCTCAAACCAATCATGGCCCCTGGAAGGAATGGCAAACAGCAGCTCTCTCCACTGTCCTGAGCCACCTTACATCCCAGGATACAAGGTACAAATGTTGCACAAAGACCTGCAGGTGAGAGCCATATCCTCACGTTAGAAACCATGTCTCATTGTGGGGGAAACACAATATCATTTTGCTTCCTTAAACTCAAGACCACACTTACAAATGCTACAGTCATCACAGCATTGGCACACACTCCAATCCGATAATCCATAAGACACGCTGTACTGTGTGACAACGGCGGGCTGCGAGTTGACCACATTTGACTGGAAACCAGACTATTAAATGAGAAGAATCCCAGTTCTCCCATTGTGTGGTTATATATTTTTTTACCACTGTTCGTCCCTGTGGGACATAATGCCATGAATATCAACATCTGCGTAATCAAAACCTGTACAGATTGTTGGTGCAACACTTGGAAATTTGATCTTATCAAACCCCAAATCCTCCACAAACCAGCCAAACACAAATTAAATTAGTCAAATGAATCCCATGTCACAGTCCTGGGTATCCTTTGGATAAGCGATGGTTCAGATTTTACCTCCTGAAATTTTAGTCTTTGTCTAAATCCACACACGGGAGGGAAAAGGCATAGCCACAGCTCTTATACCCACTGCGCCTTACAAGAGTCCAGTCTACGCTGATCTCACATGGCAAACAATTTAACCAACTGGGCAGGTTCAAACATTACGTAATGGAAAAAATGTTTAGCTTTGAGGTGTTTCACGCCTGACAAAAGGGTGAATTCACCACTGTGTAGTTTTTATCAGCAGTAAGTAGTTAAAGAACAAAGTATATTTATACATAAGGCACTCCGTTAAGGTGTGGTGTGTGTACATACTCAAGGCTGAGTAAAATGAGTTCAAATGCTGAGGCACTCGAGCAATAACAAAAGATTGTGCTCTCAAGCTACAAAACATTTCATTAGAGCGAGGGCATGAATGAGTTGTGTCAAGGTGGACAAAAGAAACTCTACGTAGTTGGATTCTGGAGTCATATGCTGTTAGAAAAAAGACTTACAATTTAGTAATACTTGTTACTTCTTCTCAGTTTGTGGTCATTTTAAGACACATCATCAATAAAGAACTGTTGATGGTGAAAAAGTAAGAAACAGCAACATATCCAAAGTCATACAGCATTTATCTGGCTAAATGTATGCATTATTTTCTTTACATATAACATTTACATACATAAAGAGGACTCATCGAGATTAAGGATGTACTATAAGCACATAATCTTCCACACATATTCAGAGCATTGAAACAAATAATCATAAATATTTCCCCTTTAAATTTCGTAATGCTGTATGTATTGAGATTTTCATGTTTCAGTACATTTCTGTACAGCAAACTTTATAGTTTGAGAAGTTTAAAAAAACTATTAAAAAGTTTTATACACATGCGATGAGTTTCAACAGTTCTTTTTTACAATTAACCACAGAAGAAAGAAGTAAGGAGAGTTAGTCAAACAGCAGATGACACGTGCTGCATACTACATTCGGCCATTTACAGATTTATGTCTTCTTTTTTTACATGCACTCATTCAGTCATATCAGAAAGGTTTGTGTTTAAATGTTTTAAAAAAAGAATAAGCAATGCCTAGCATGTAAAGACATATTAGTTCACAGATCAACCAAATGGCTATAATTCCACAAGGAAGTAAAACATCAGTTATGCAACGGCATCATTTACCAGAAGACCTCCTCAAGCTTTCTCATTTGAGACAGGCATAACCACAAAACTATTCAGTTCCTTAACATTTCAGGGCATTATTTGTTTTTTAAAAGCAAAGGGTGCTAAAATGAGCTTGCCTGTTTCAGCCCATGCTGTCACTTATGTGGTTTAGCCGCTGACTCATGTCTGTACTGAGTTTGCATTTGTTAATGTGCTACCTTGTTCGTTATGAACAGCAAAAATGCTAAAGTTGAAATTCTATCTAGGCATGTTGACATTATTTTAACGGACATTGTTTCGGTGGAAAATATGTTGGTTGAGTAGCAGGAAGACTTTTGTTCACAGCTTGCCTGATCAGGCAGGCCGGACGTGTCTAAATCATGATGAGGTTATATCCGCACACAAGCGATTAAAAGAAATCAACATCATCTTCTGTGAAGCTCTGCTGAAGCACAGTTGATAAGCTTTGCTCCGCCTGTCTTGTAGTGGCTCATATGTTTAGGTTCCTGTCCCTATAAAACAGCAGGGGGTAAGTCTCTTAAAACACTTTTACACTTCTTTTTTTTTTCTAGAATTAATTCAAACCTGAAGAAGAAAGTAAGCTGCAATACTGCTGTTTTTTTTTGTTGTTTTTTTTTTACCTTTCAGCTCTTCAAGACAATTTTAATTAAATTACTTCAGTGTAATTTAATTTGATAGATTTTGTTGAAAGCCGAACTAAAAAAAAAAAGAAATTTGAAAAACACTGCATAGTGGAGAAATTCCTGCCGAGCCAGCACTTTCACTTCCCCAAATTGTGGAGTGTTTTCTAACGAGTTTCTATCTGTGTACTTATCCCACAAAAGTTTACATTTGACACAAAGCTGTCCAAACAGGCGGTAAGAGATTGATGAATCCTAAGAATATATTATCACAACGCACAATGGCCACAATTCAGAGAAATGGTCACAATATACGGAAAGCAAGATGCTGATCACTGCAAATCTTAAAAACACTTTTTTTTTTTTTACAGTGGAACAAAGAAAGCAGACGTTACATTCGTCCAGCATCCCCTTTTCTTTTCACAGCAGTCATTAATCTTGTGGGGCCACCAGTTCCTTGATTTTGGGGGATTCTTGTATTTTTTTTATGCAGAATGCATACATTTATTTCTGTTGGAAAGTAAAAGGACGATTTCTGCCGATAAGCAAGGCTGTTACACTTGATGCAGCATGCAACCTGAGCCAAAAAATCATAGAAGTCTTTATTTGGCCCTGAAAATATGAAAAAAAATAAACAGAAATTATTTTAGTATTCCATCATATATTATCATGCGATAAGTCCAAATTATTGTTGTGTTTTATTTTCCCGTTGTTTTCAGGTATATCTGATTGAGTAAAACAGGGGCAAATAGTCCCTCCTCAGTTGTGCAGGGGACACAGTTTCCCAAAAAATGTTTTAAATTTAGATTTTCCCGACCACAAAACAGTTTTCTAATTTATCTCTGTACGTTTAAATTGTCTTTGGTCCTGTGAGAGCAGCACCCCTGGATCATATACACATCTGGTTTCCTATGTATACAACAGAGCTTTAACCTGCATTCATAGATGGAAAAGATAAATTTCTTATTTGATATGTGTGTTTTAGCATCAATTACATATTTTGTTCAATCCATTCTCTCATTAGTTCAAATTTTGTTATTTGGATTGAGATTTTCCATCTTATGTATCACCGTCTGTCTCGCAGAAATTTATAGCTGCCTGCAGAAATCGAGACGAAGCAATGTGTCAATTCTTCCCATGGACAGTCATCCATTCCTACTTAGAGTTTGTTTGTATCTGTCTGAAGTGTGCAGAGATTCAGTTCCTGAATTTTTTACTTCTTCTTTCTAAACCTCTGGTGTCAAAGACAAAGACGAGTGTGTGTGGCTCTATTCTTCACTCTTGGAGGGTTTCGGTTGAGCTGAAGTACCTGCTTTCTGCAGATATGGAAACAATCACAGCATCTACAGAAAATTACGTCTATGTAAGTACATGTTATATGAAACTTCAGGTGCATTAAAATTTCCAAAAACATATATAAACATATATTTTGCAATTAAGCCACAGGCATTTTCTGAGGCATAGTAAGCTGGATAGTGAGCGGTAAACCAGTTACTACATCGTTTTTATGACTGTTTTCTCGAGCAGTCTTTCACGTGTTTGATCGAGGTCTGTTTTTCCCTTTAACAAAGGAGGACTATGACTACAGCTATGACCCTGCAACAGCTGACTCCATTGCGGCCCCCTGCAAAGTGGATGACATCTATGCCTTTGGACAGAAATACTCCCCTATTGTGTACAGCCTGGTGTTCATCCTGGCTCTTTTGGGAAACGTGCTGGTACTGTGTGTGATCAGACGCTACAGAATCTCTCAGAGTGCTGGGGCCTGTGCCTTTTCCCTGACGGACACTTTCCTCCTCCACCTGGCCATTTCTGACCTCCTGCTAGCCTTTACCCTCCCTCTGTTTGCAGTGCAGTGGGCTCATCAGTGGGTTTTCGGCTTGGCTGCTTGCAAGATCTCCGGGGCCCTCTTCTCCCTGAACCGTTACAGTGGCATCCTCTTCCTGGCCTGCATCAGCTTTGACCGATACCTGGCCATTGTCCATGCGGTCAGCTCTGGCCGGAACCGGAACACCTGCCATGCCCAGTTTGCATGCGCAGTCATCTGGGTGCTATGTCTTGGCTTGAGTGCAGTGGACATAGCCTTCAAAGAGGTGGTGAGGGTGGAAACTGTTGATGGCCAAAAGGCAGATATGTGCATGATGTGGTTCAAAGAAAACCCTACTCAGTGGCAGGTGGGCTTGAAGATGGTTAGTATCATTTTGGGATTCGGGGTCCCTCTGCTGATCATGCTCTACTGCTACATCCAGATCTTCAGGTCTCTGTGCAATGCTTCACGCCGCCAAAAGCGCAAGTCTCTCCACCTCATCGTCTCCTTGGTGTCCGTGTTCGTCATCTGCTGGGCGCCGTACAACTGCTTCCAGCTGGCAGACAGTCTGCAGAGGCTGGGGGTGGTGTCCGAGGACTGCCTCTTCGGCCGCGTGATGGACATTGGGATTTTGATCACAGAGAGTGTGGGACTGTCGCACTGCGCCCTGAACCCTCTGCTTTACGGCTTCATCGGGGTGAAGTTCAGGAGGGAGCTGGTCAGGATGTTCAAGGGCCTGCTGGGACAGAGAGGCCTGCTGGGAATGGAGGACTGGAGGGAGAGGCGGTTTAGAAAAACAACAGCATCCATCAGCTCTGCAGAGAGTGAAAACACCTCATACTCTGTCATGGTGTAATACTGTTTAATGATGAGGAGATATGTCCTGTTTTATGTATGAGGGGGATATTTCAAAACAGAAAATTGAGATAAGAGTTTAGAAATGTTCACAGTGGAAATACAATTCTGCCTGTATGATTTACGTTGGTGCTTTGACATGTAGTTGAAAGTATTGTGCAGCTTATATTGTTTTAATCTTTGTCTTTATTTTACTACTAATTCGTTGTAAAATCATGAAGTGAGAGTGGGGCAGAGTACAGCAGAACATCCCTCATGCTGATGTTGTCACGAAACATTTTATGAGAACTTGTTCACTTAGTTGTCCACAGGTCAAATATTGTGAAATTTCTAGTTTTCTCAGTAGTCTGAAAAAGCATCTTCAGCAGTTTGAATGTGAACTGTGACCTCAAGTGCTCAAAACCTCCACATTTTTTAATTGCAGTCAGTTTTTGTTCAAAAGCATGTTTTAAGGTTAAATGAAAAGTTGATGGCATTGACATTTTTCTCCTATTGTAAAGACTATTTTTCTTTAAAAAACATACTCTGTGGTGTGATAGAGGAACTGAGTGTTACTTATTCTGAATACAAACTCAGTCTCGTTTTGATGCACAAGGGCTTTTTATGATAAACATTTTTCTTAATATATATACAAAGTTCTGTGTCTAAACCTGTCATTTCATATCATTTTGCCATTATGCAGCCGCACTCACAGTCCTCATTTTTACTTCCGTTAGTGTAATGATGAGATAAAGTCCCTTCCACAGATGATAGATTAGTCTTAAGACCTGTGCTCATATAAGTAAATAAAACAAACAAACAAACAAACAAAAAAACTAACAAAAAGGTTCAAAAGCACATTTTCAATGGCAGGACATATGGAGGATATGGAGAAGCAGCAGTGGTGGACAGTCTATTCAGATATTCTGCTGAAGAAAATACATCATTGCTACCATGTAAGAGGGAGAGTTTTATTTAAATAAATAAGCCAGGTCTATTAGTAAAATGAAAGGAATAATCAGCCCCAGTCTACTCTGAATTGCCTCTAGGAGTGAATGTGTGTGGTTGTTTGTCTCTGTCTGGCCCCGTGATGGACAGTTGACCTATTCAGGATGCACCCAACCACTCGTCCGTTGTCAGCTGGGAAAGGCTCCTCTGACCCCACTGGGAATAAGCAGTATAGATAAAAGATGGATATTATTTTGTTAATGATGTCTCAGATGTAAATAAGGTTGAGATTAGAACACAAAGACTCTGTCACAAGGCCACAAGTGGGACCATCCATCAACTTCCAGTACTGGTTTATTCTAAATAGGGTCATGGCAGGCTGAAGCCTACCACTGACCAGTTTAACCCTTTTAATCTTAAAAAGTAAAACGGTATGCTTTAATAAGATATCCAAGAGTGCAACAGTGCCTCCTGACGACCAATCTGCTTCAAATGAAAACCACACATCTCTGAAAATCATTAATAGTGAGTCAGTGAAGCTCTCTCACTTGAGCCACGCCTAATTAATTCCCCTTCCTGAATATTCCTCTATTAAATTAAAAAAAAATTAGCATTATATGACAACTGTTCTGATGATAATATACTTTATTTCCTGCTTTTATCCTGACAAGCTCCGCGTTACATTAAAATGAGCCCAGCATTGATCGTGCGCAAAGACAACAGCTCCCTCTAGTGGAGATCTTCCCGTCGTGCAGCTCAGCGTCTGCTTTGTTAACAAGCCCTGTTGCCATGTGTCAGATACGGAGGCTTGACGGAAGTACTAGAACACGGCCTTCAATAGAAAACAAAGCTGGTTGCATTATTATTGCTTCGGTCATGGAGACTGCGGCTTCCCGGTACAGCCTGCTCCTTTGCACTACACTGGGCTTCTGTTATGTTTTCGATCGCCTTCATATGGAGTATTATTGTTCACAGTTAGTTAATTCATGCTTCTAAAATATTTAATTTTGAAAAATCTACATGCGTGACAACCGTGTTTCGTCTGTGACGGTAGTTTGTCCAAAAATAGCTGCGTGTGTGTTTCTGTTTCTGTTGATACTCATTAAAAAAAATAAAAAGACAACGTGAAACTGAAGTTAAAGTGCGCGTTAGGCCACGCTGATCGTGGGATTTTTTTCTCTCCTCTTTATACCACCGTTTGCATGCACAACGTCAGAAGCAAACAACTGTCGACTGGTGAGCGCAGCTGTTTCCTCCGTCGGTTTTCGGTTTGGTTCAGCACAATTCCTTTTGTTCGTCCGGATTCACCCTGAGCGCGTTTCAACGTACTATTTTTCTCTGCATTGACAAGTTGGATTATCCCTTAAGTTTCAATGCGAGCGCGAAGGGAAACTTCTGCGCGCGTTTCACTCTAAGGACAGTGAGCTGACCTCCCTTCAAATAAGGCAAAGGCAATTATCGTGTCATCCATCGTGCGTCCACAGACAGGCGGAGTGTCACCGATCCAAGGCGCACACCGGGGTTTTCGTCCTCAGAATCACCCGCTGACACTTGTCCGGATAAATTGGTAAGATATCACATATTTGTCAAGCTCTGAAGATAATTTCAATAATGTACTTTTGCTTATTTTTCTTTCTTTTGCGAAACTGACAATGATGCAGACTATCCAGAGACAGATCGACATGGGCAAAGTTTTACCGAAAACAAATGTTATCTCCTGAGATCAAAATGCAGCGACAGTTCACAGTGCATGACCATGTTATTTCTCAAATATTTGCACTGTCTGAGTCAGTGTGACTATGGGAAAAAGTACTTTCCTTTTGGCCTACCCCACGTTTGCCTCATCCAGTGAAAAGGCATCATGTGAATTATGACTGAGTGTGTTAGGAAAGCCTTAGCTGGGCTTTTCAGAGGGGAAATTTCTCTAAAAATTACCTCACTCTCATCCAGATTTAGTCACGCAGAGAGTTGAGTGTATATAAGGCTGTATTAGGAAGCACAGCAACGCATTTGACTCTTCTGTGTTTCTGTCCCTCTTCTAGTCGAACATGGCCGTTGTTCTGGATGGACTGTTTCGCCAAAACACCACCTATGACTATAATGACAACTACGAGTATGTAGATGATTCGGAAGGAAAAGGCAGTGAGGCGGTGTGGATCCCGGTCCTGTACTCTGTGGTGACATGTGTCGGTCTGCTGGGGAATTTGCTGCTTCTGGTCATTCTGTATCTAAAGAGATGCTCGTGGAGCATGTCGGACACCTTCATTCTCCACCTGGGTGTGGCAGACGTCCTCCTCCTGGTGACTCTGCCCTTCCGAGCTGCGCAGGCGACTCAGCATTCTGGATGGTGCTTTGGTTTTTTCTGCAAGATCTGTGGAGCTGTTTTCTATGTAAGTGTTGTGCCCAGCAAGTAGCTACTGAGATCTGTTATGGGTGGCTGTGAGAAAGTTGTTTTTGAATGAATTGTTTTTGCCTCCGAGCTGTTATTTCCTGTGAAGTGAAACAGAAATTGAAGTCTGATATTGAGCAAACCTACTTCCTTTGTGACATCCTCTGAGTCTATTCGGGTTTCTTTGAAGAAGACAACAGGAAGAGAGCATACCTGAATGAGAGATGGATGATTTGGGAGGGTTTTCACTAACTGTAAAGTTTTCTGTTCCAGATGAACTTCTACTGTGGGATCTTTCTGCTGGTTTGCATCACCCTGGATCACTGCTGGTCCAGCATCCGTCATGTCCAGCTGTACTCTCACAGGACGCCCAGTGTAGCGAGTGTCTTCTGCTTTACGGTGTGGGTCGTCTCTCTGCTCCTCACCATACCTGACTGGATTTTCCTCGGGCCCAAGATGGAACGTGGGGAAACGCAATGCGTCCACAGCTACCCAGAGTCTAAATTTGGCAGGTTTCTGTCTCTCCGCGTGCTCCACCACGCAGTCGGCTTTTTGCTCCCTACAGTTATCCTGATGACCTGCTGTTCCTGTCTCCTCGTACGGCTGCAGCCCTTCTCTAACGGCGCCCGGAGGAAGCGTCCTGCTATGCTCATCATCCCGTGTGTGGCGGTATTTCTCCTCTGCTGGATGCCGTACAACATTACTCTCTTTGTGGACACCCTCAGTTACGGTTCCAAATCATCTGGCTCTTTGAAAGCAGCTCTCAGGGTGACCTCAGCTCTTGGCTCTGCTCACGCCTGTCTCAGGCCTCTGCTGTATCTGTTCCTTTGTGGAAACTTCAGGAAACAAACGCTGAGCCTGCTCAGATGTGCAGCCGTTGAATTCAAGAGTTCTTTGTGGGATCTGGGCGTGGGCAAGGAAGCCCCACAGGACCGGGTTCAGAGAGTTGAGGAGCTTCAGCATATGACAAGTTCAAAGTTTCAGGACCAGTCAACTCAGGCATGAGGAAGGGCCAGAAAAAAAACCTATTGCTCAAGAGTCACTTGAATGATACTCCTCCCATGGGGGGAATTTAATGTGAACTCGTGTTATGGGTTTCACCAGCGGGGGACTACAAACAGTGTGATGACAAGAAAAGGAAGATAACTGACTCAAAGTCACCCTTCAATGTGACATTGTGAGCAACTGTGTGGTAACATTCACTCTTGTCTTTGTAATCAGTGTTGCACAACTTAAGCTTGTAACCTATCACGACATATAGTTATATTTTTTTACCTTAATATTATTCTCTCGCTAGCATTTCTGAAATGAGGATAGTATTTATACAAAGGGAAGAGCTAGTGCCAGAGGGTTTGGAAGTAGATGGAATTTAATAGGTTATTTTAACTGCCGTTAGTTTATTTTTGCAATAAACAATCAGACTCACTTTACAACGTCATTGCTGATAACGTACCATAAACTTTCATTTTTCAATTCACGTGCAGGCTTGTTTAAAAGCAGTGTGGATCCCAGGATTGTAGCTTGTGCGTGTCCATGTTTGAGCCAGATATAAGGAGGTGGGGTTTCTTTTGTCTCTCTGGCTCAGTGTTGTATTTCTGTGAGTTAAGTGGAAGACACAGGGTGATACAAACAGGTTGTGATGTCACCAGTCAGGTGACAGAACCAGACGGAGGAGGAGGCAGATGCAAAACAAGCCGTCTGTTGGTTTCCGCCTGCCTTGTGGCAGAGGTTAACTCTTCTCTAAATAGCTGTCTTTGTTTGTTTGGAGTGAATGGTGGCGAACTTTATATGTGAGTGTATGACTGGAAAATGAAGTAGGTGGCAAACAAGGGAAATTCAGAAGAGAGAGAATCTTACTCATGGGATCAAAGCACATGTGCTCAGCAATGAGAAATTGCTGTGTTTATTTTTAATCTCTAAGCCTTGTTTTAAGTCTCAATAGATGTTAATGTTAATACATGAGTAAACTCAAATAACAGCATGTTCACAGTTCATTACATTCATTTGGAAACTTTGTGTACTTTCACATTCTGAAAACAATTTCCCTAAATGTCTTCCTTCTTCTTTCTGCTACTGTACTTTTTATGTAAAGTTGACACTTTAGAAAGAATGTTGCCTGACTTTAACAGCTGTCTCCCTTCATTTTTATACAACATAGCAGGTTATGATTAGTCTTCAACATTGCATCAAGTTGAGATGTCACTTCCTGCCTCAGCTTAAGCTTTTCTGTGAAGTGAGGCAGAGACATGCAGCTAATCACGTAAAACCGGTCATGTAAAGTTCATTCATACCATGGAAAGTACTAAATCAATATTTAAGAGAAGGGAAAAACTTGTGACACCACGTTTAAAAACCAGACTGCTGAGCAAAGAAAGCTGATAAAGCTGGAATAGAGCTAGATGACATCTTGATCCTTCTGCCGAGAAAAAGAGATTTACAAATTCCTTTAGCAGTTCCCCCCAAACTGAGAGGTCAAACTGAGTAACCCTGGTCACTAAAGAGGGGAAAAATCTTGGAGAGTTCTGGTTTCTATCAAGTGTCATTATATGAAATATCCATCAAAAATGCTAATTTAGATGTAGTCCACCTTTAACTATAAACTGCAGTTATAAACAAGCTGAGTTTCCAGACATTGGTAAAGCAAATATATTTGACTGTTGACAGCAGTATCTGGTAGTACAGGTTTATGTTGCTCTTGTTTGTAATCCAGTACAAGAAATAGTTTTAGGCTTTGTTTCTAGTCTTAACTAGAAACAAACAACCAGGAAGAAATTCTGTGGGTAAAATGGACAAAAATGGAGGGAGCTCTTTTTCACATGTAACATCTGTTTTTATGAGTTTATGTAGTAGTGTTTTTAAATGTACGTGTTGCAGTTGTAATGGTATTAACACCGTTAGCAGTGTAACCAAGACTGAAACCCTCTTACAAACGTTCAGAGATTTGGTTATTTGCATCAAACCCCTCAATGTAAACTTTTTTTTGTGTAGGTTGTGGCTATGTCTCTCAAAAAATGGCTCAGATATGACTCACCTGCAAATGGAAAATAGACGACTCACGTTAAAGAACATTCCTGAAAAATACTCAAATCCTTGTGCAACAAATCAGTTGCAGCAAAATGGGGAAAAAAGTATTACAACCCTGTTTTTTTTACTATTTTTAGTTTTTTTTCTTAAAATTTTTTGGGGGGAAATCCATAACATTTATTAGACACCAAACTGCTAAATGCCGCATTGTTTTGTTTGTTTTGTTTCTGTTTGCCTTTAGTTTTGTTGAAAAAGTCTAAAAGGAGGCAAAAGATTAGCTCCACAGCAGTTACACTAAACATGCAGCTTTTAATGCTCTTATTCATTCAGTCGCTCATAAACTGCAGGTAATATACAAACACAACCAAAGCGGTAAATGAGGCTGTAAAGAGGCTGTCATGTGATTGATTTTCTCTTTTGATCTGTCATATTTGACTGTTCAGATGTAAGCTGTGGTTTAGGATGTTCTTTGATTCAGTTGCATTTTCCTGTAAGAGAGATATCATCTCTTTCTGCAGAAACTGTCACAAGCAGATTTCTATTTTCCTTTGGCTCTTCTGTTTTCTTCTGTTCTGTACACAGTCTAAACATACAGAAACCTTTACAAAGGTCTATAGATACATGGATTATTTGTCCCAGATGCTTTGAACAATCCAAACTCTAGGGTGTCTGTCAGCCACAGGCTCCCAGCTTCATGAGATAAAATAGATAAGCACTGGAGAATTAAATAAAATGGAAAGAAATTATATAAATGAGAACCAAGTACCAGCCTGTATCTCTGTTAACTGAAAAAAAATCTGCCCAGTAAAGGTTAGCATCACTGTACAGTATATCATACCTCTAACCAAACAAGATTTTTTGTGACAAATGACATTTTTATAGCCTGGGAAAATATTTATTGAAGTATTAAGTGGCTCAAGACTTGTGTACGTGTGGGATTACTCAATGTGAAAATAAAGTTTAATGAAGCAAATCACATTTTTTCCTCTCGATTTGTTTATCTTGCTCGATAAACTCCAGGCTCTCGTGCCCCGCCGTACATTTGTTTCCTGTCTTGTGAAAAGTTACCCAGTGATGGGTCCTGCAGCAGGATAGTAAAATTCCACTTTAACCCACTCTCACCTCATTTGTTTTGTAAAGAAAAAGACTTGTTTACAGCCACAATTTTTGTCCTCACCTTTAATTTAGTTTGGGATGGTTTTTACTCTTAGAATGTTGTATATGGCATACCTAACAACACTAAAAGGCTATGATTACAGTTGTTCTGTTCTGAAGTTTATTTCTTTCTTTGAGCCATTAGAAGGTATTCATTCCTCTAAAAGATGTAACTACGACCTAGGGCTGCTAAATGTGTAAACCGTAAATAAGCTGTTTAGGTCATACAGTATAATGAGTGTCTGGATTACAGGGGGGGCAATTGAGGTTTAGTCTGTATATGGTGTTCTGTTAATAACATCTATTTTTGATTTCCTGTTGTGTCTCATTCAGTGTGGGCCAGACAGGTTTAGTATCACTCGCGTGTTATTGCAAAAGTTAATTTAAGACAGTTCAAATAAACACTTATAGCAACTTTCTTTTTGTATGGTTCCATCTAGCTGCCCTCCTGTTGTTTGTTTTTTTCAATACTCTAATATTGGCTAAATAAAAACCTTTTTTGAACTTTTTTGCTGACAGCAGACACTTAGAACAGTGTCATGTTCTGTCCTAAAAATGCTGATTTGGCTTCAGAAGTCTGCGTGTAATATCTTCTCAAAACCGTAAACCTTCTAGAAAGAAGTGAAAGCTTTTATGGTCTCTGTTGCTGAGTGGGATCAAATAAATGACAATTTCCTCATGACTTTAAAGCAGTCAGCAGGTCTGCAGCACTGCTGTGGCTCACAAAATAAGTCCCTCAGAAAGCTCTTCCTCTTAAAGCAATACAGTAAAATAAGACTCAGAAAAACAGGTATGTTAAAAAAAACTTTATTGAGACATTAAAAAAATCTTATACAAACTTAAGAAATATATACCTTGTCATTTAAGGGTTAAAAATGTTCAAAACATGCAATTTACAGTACAGAATGCTAACTGCAAGTCACCACAGGTTTCGGTAAATCATTTAAATTATCATGCCACATGATAATCAGACTAGCTTACAAGTATTTATGTTTAACAGCATGGGCGGGTTTGAAGGGCACAGTCATGTTGAGTCTCGGCTATTTACATACATACAAACTGGCTAAGCCAGTTAAACATGTCAATATGTCATTTTCTGTGAGTTTTAAGCTTTTTCTCGACTATTTCTTTTTTTTTTTAAAGGTTGTTTTGATTGTTTTTCATATTGCAGTTGAGTTGGAGGTCTCTGCAGAGTCAGACCACAGAGAAGTTTTCCTGCTGACGACAGACTGGAAATTGGTGGGCTTCTTCAGCTTGCAGCCCAGAGACCTTAAGAGATCAAACAGCTGGCGCCGGAACTTTACACCCACGAAAGCGTACAGGATGGGATTGAGGCTGCTGTGAAGGTAACCCAAGGTAGAAGTTACTATCATGGCTTTGTCCAGAGCACTTATTCCACAGGTGTTATTGCCGTTGTTTTCTGTGACTGTGTCCACTATCAGTGTAATATTGTACGGGGTCCAGCAGACAAAGAAAACCACCACCAGAGCTACGATGACTCTGAAAGCCCTCTGCTTCTGGAGGCCCCGGGTGCCACAACGCAGCCGCCGCAAGATGCAGGTGTAACAGAAAACCAGGATGACTGAAGGAAGCAGGAAGCCCGCGACGTGGTAAAGCCTGCGTGACGTCATTCTCCAGTAATGAACAGTCTCATTACCAAGGATCGAATAGTTCCGAATACATTGTCTTCTGCCTACTCTGTCCGATGGAATATCTAAGAAGACCCAGTCGGGAATAGAGAGAAGCAGGGAGAAAAACCACACCATCAAGCAGCTGGCGTGAACGAGCCAGGGCTTCCTGCGGGAGTACATCTGCGTTGCATGGACAATGGACAGGTAGCGATCGATACTGATGCAGGCCAGGAGAAAGATCCCACAGTAGAAGTTGACCTAGGAACGACAAACGTGATAAAAGAAGGGTAAGACCATTTTGGACGTTTTTTTATTTTCGAGACTTTGTTCCCTTATTTTGCATGTTGCGTACCGTGAAAACGGTTCCAGTGATCTTGCAGAGTGGACGTTCAAATGTCCATCCTGTTTGTTGTGCAGATCCAGCAGCCCAGAGAGGCAGCGTCACCAGCAGCAAGATGTCTGCCACAGCCAGGTGGAGGATGAAGGTGTCTGTCACACTCCAGGATTTCCTGCTCTGAAACAGCACTCCTAGCAGCACTGCATTTCCCAGGATGCCCACCACAAATGCCAGGGAATACAGTACCGGGATGACCACTAACTCAAAATTTGTACGGACATCATCGCACACATCATTGCCCCAGCCAAAATCGGATCCTGAATCATATGAATAATTGGAACTGTTTCCAAGTAGATCATCGAACAGATCCAAAAAGTCATTGTTCTCAGGCAAACCAACTTCCATGATGCAGATCTGTAATAGAAAAAGAGGAGACATACTTCATTATGCTTCGGTTTGACATCTGCAGTCTATTTGTAGCCACATGGTGGCACCATCAGTCAAGATCCTCCTCTGAATTTCATGAATACAGGTTGAGAATCCTCTCAGTCTGTGAGTAAAATCATTCGCATATGGACTTGTTTGAATACATCTTCTGCAGTACGTGCAAAATATTTTTTGGGAAAACGCATTTTTGCATTGAAAAGTTCGTCTTATTTGCTTTTGATAGATTATAAAATGCCACAGGAGAAACTAAAACTTTGAAATCGTGCCGTTATATCTGCTAACTGATGGTTAAGAGGAAATAATAAAAACAGACACAAGGGACAGAAATGTATGTCTTCTGAAGCATAATAACATTTCATAAACAGCAATGCATGATCATTACATCCAGAAAGAATATTCTAAAAAAAAAACAGAATTTGTTGTGCTGCCATCGTCATATTGCCATGTATTTTTTCACTCAAAACATGTTACCATTTTATGTCCTGGAATATGTTGTGAATTTAACAAAATGCCTGTGACAAAAACCCACTGCAGACATAAACATATGGCGTGAACTGAGTCAAAGTTACCCACATGTTTTACCTATTAAGTATTGTCCAGGACAGAAACGATTTTTTCAAGTAAAAAGATGACAGGTTTTTATGATTTAAAGAAGATAAAGACTTACCGAGCTATAGCCACCCAGTTGCCAAAGGTCACGGGATGCACACCCACACAGCTGAAATTGTCAGTATGCCAACCGGCAGCGCAAATGACAGCAAATCCAGAGCAGACTGACAAAACCCTGAACCTAGACACACACACACACTCAAAACAAGTCAAACCTCAGCACTCATCACACAAGAAGATGTGAAAAGTTTCAGGTGCTGACCGAAAAGTGCTTTCTTGCTGAAAGGGATTTAGAGGGTTTAATGTGCAGATTAAACATTTTTTGAGTCAGAAAAATTACTTTTGTGACTTTTTCCTAACATCAGTATCTTTACTCACAGTAGAAAAAGCTTACTTATTAAAATGGGTCATGACAGTCCTTATAGAGGTAATCATTTGACAATTTTAAAACTGATTTATTGAGTTTTACCATCACGACTTTGTCTCAAGTGCTCATACTTTTAGTGATTATTGAAAGCTCTGACTGCCACTAAAAATAATGTTTATTGGGACCAAGAACTATATTTATCTCTCAAGTCTGCACACCGTCGGGCCAAAACACAGGGCAAGTCTTTTTGAGATTGGAATTTAAGCCAAGTTAATGAATATTGAACATCTGACGGTAATAGGTCATATTTTAAAGAAAGTTCACACTTAAGCGTTCACACAGTGTGCTGTTACTATCATTAACAGAGCTGTGGGTGAGTGAAAGAGCTTTTGAGGCGATGTTGTCAGGCCACCTTTTGAGGTGTTTTTTTGTACCCAGCTTTTTTATATTTCCGTACCAAACTAAATTTACCTTACATAATTGAATAATGTTTTGCCACTTAAAAACATGCCAAAGTGACTGTAGTATTTTCTTCTTGCCAACGAACTGGAAAGTGTTTTTATGATGTTTAATATTTAACTAAAACAATCAATAAAAAGCCTATATTATTTGCTTTTTGTAATTGACTTTTTCAAAGAGCGGGGATTTACACATGTACAGAATATGATGAAAAAGACAAGACGCCACAACATGCGATTGGTTGTTTTACTTTCCATAGAAACTAAAGTCTAACCTTCCTATGCTTTAGACAAACTCAACTTGAAAACATTCATAAGTTTCATACAATCTGAATGTTAAGTTTCAGGTTCGGTTGAGTTTAAAGGGATGCATTTCAAAGAAATGCATTGTACTGTTCTGATAGATAATGCAACTAACAGTCTCTGCTGCTGTGTTTTAAGTAATTGTCCGAACAGGTATTATAACGTCATGTACTCTTTGATAGTAGAAATAATCTAGAGGGTAGGCTTGAAATACAGTATAAGAAGAAATATGTCTTAAATAAACTGTGAAAGCATTACACAATTTTATGAGTAGCTTTATGAGTTTACAAAGGAGCCATCACATAACACACTGACACAACATTTTCTGCTGCAAAGCAATTCCAGTATTTCTGTCACTGGCTCTTATCTTCAAAAAACGGCTTTTGCTTTCTGTGAACGGTTTGCTTAGTTATCAGAAAAGATCCATAACATGAGAAAGTAATTTGCGTATGATTGTACCTTGATCAAAATTTTCTCTAATGCTTGAGCCCTCTGCAGTAAACTTTTATTGACAAAAAATCACTTTGTCATTAAAATGCCTTCAAATGTCAAACTGCGCACAAATCTTAACTCGGCTCACTTTTTTGTTTGCTGTTTGTTCTCAATCGTTTGAGTACAAGTTCAGCAGACAGCACTCAGAACTGCAGTTAAAAGAAAAAAATGAAAGGCACACTATAATGTGTATGTCATAGCCTGTTGCAGCCTAAAGAAATGATACTTTGTTTTCCCCTCCGAAAAGGCACGAGGACAATTGATTTAATATTGAAAGTGATTCTATGATGACACTCATCCCTTCTGTAACTTTTCCATCAGCATGTGCATATTCTTAGTAACAGTGCTGAGAGAACAGCACAAACAGTAACGTACAGTATGCTCCCAAATTTGACCTCTGAGGTCATTTGCAACACTGCAGAGAGCATCAACCCTCCGTAGTTATGGATTTTCATTTTTAGTTTTTTAGATGTCCACAATTAAATGCATCGTCATGACAGAATTGGTGAAAAGATGTAGAAAATAAAGCCAACTTTTTTTCTGTGGAAATGACACTTTATATATGCACCTACACCAAAGAAGGCAGAAAATTTGGAAAAACAAAAATCCTTTGTAAACTCTGCAGCAGCAATAATACAAAAAAATCATTCAAACATGCTTCAAATTCATGGAAAATATCAGAATGAATAACGTCATTGAGAGCATGATCAAAACTCCTTACGTTTATTCAAATATTTCTTATCAGTGTTAAATCTCTTTCAATTGTTTTACCGATTGGGCCCTCAGTTTCTAAAAAACCTCAAGATCTTTATCACACCTTTTCTTTGCTCTCAGTATTGCTCATACTCTAAAGACAGCCACACGACACAATGCAAACCTGACACCTGTAACTCTGCTGCAAGAACATGTTCCTGTTTTTTCACACCTTTTCTTCCATTCACTGTTCTGCTGCACTCATGCAGATTATGCGGTGAGAGATGTAGATGGAAGCGGTCATGACCAACAAATGAGTTTTTCAGCTTACAGCAAGCAAAACAAGAAAAAGAAGAAATAAAGATTAAACTGTTTAGAAAGACAGATAATTGTGACCTTTATCTCAAGTATGATTAGTATGCATGTAATTACACAGATTCTGGATAGTTCAAGTAAAGTTTGTGGAGCTTTTAGTCACCTGAAAAGAGTGAAGCATTCAGCCACAAAATTGTTTTTTATATCTTTAAAAACATTTTATAATTTGAAAACATTTTATATATTCAAGTTGTACTGTTAATTGAATATTAGCTTTTAACATCTGTCTCCCATTTATGACTCATCTCATTCAAATGTGCCTCTTGAATTTCTGCTTTACTACAAAATGCTGTCAACCTGTCGGACAAGGAACTGAAATATACAAACCAAACCAAAAAAACTTTAAACGTGTACCTGTTAGTTTTGATTCCTAAATCCTACTGGTTTCAGTTATGTTGATGCATTTGAATAGCAACAAACAGTCACAGGCAAATGTCATTCAGCATTTGAAATCAGTTACGGTTTGCTTTTTTTTTTCCTGTAGGGACAAACTGTTTCATTGAAGGCGCTTTTTGGGGACAAAAGCTTTAACATAACACATGAAGCTGTTGCAAGCTTTTTCATGAACTGAACGCAACTGAATTAAGTTTAATAATACCAAAATGTTGTGCATTTTCTGCAGAATAAAAAGCTATTATTGGCATGAAATACATCCAGCACCATTCTTTTTTGGATGGCTACAAAGGAACCACTGGCATTGCATGCTTTGTTGCTTTACTTCAAACAGTAAAGGCTGTCGGCTTACATAAGAAGCACTGCCTTCTTTGCCTCTTTTTGTAGATAGATGGATAGACAAACTTTAATTATCCCAAGCTGAGAAATCGCATGTTGCTTTTACAGATCGGTATGTTGTGCTCAACCTCTTCTTCGTCAGTGATTAATTCAACATCTGCAGGGTCCTTTGTGTATCTCTGGAGATGACAGGACGCCATGGTGTGCTGGGAGTTTAGTCAGATCGCTGTGGGTACAGAAAAAGGGCCTGATGGATGAGAATTTTTGCACACAAAACAATTCCGTAAAATGTTGATTTAATTTTTTCATTCACACTTTCTCTTAACTACAAATAAAGTTGAAGGGCTGCTGTAAGATCCCAATAATCCAGCATTACTCAGGCTGTCATTAGTATGCTCCCACCACAATCTCATTTCAGACAGCTTTATCCTGTACTCCTCTGTACTCCTTTTACTTTGATTTAAACTTTTTCTGTACACCCCTCAAAAATCTCTAGTCACCCACAGGCCATATCCCTCATATTTAGCAACTTTTTCAGGTCAGGAAATGACAGAAACAGCCTGTTTCCTTTTCTCACAAATTTCCCCTTTGTTGGTTTTGTGACACCACACGGTGTTATTAGTTTTTTAAGCTTAATGGAAAACATAAATCTTTGCGTTCTCTTAACATTAAAGCCAGTGGAAGTCGGTTTGAAACTCACACGTGAATTTAACATTTGTTGCAACACCAGCATTTAAAGTGTTCCTGACTTATACCCACAGCACCAATGTCAATTTCCTGTGTCACATTTAGGGCTGTGACAGTTTGAAAGCATGTGTTTGAAGCCCCTCTTCCACCAGGCCGATCTACCTAGATTGGTTGAGGCCAGAAATGGTTCAGGAGTGAGTTCTAATGCATAACTCTGATTTATTTATTTTTTGGTTAGTGTAAGAATCGCATCCCCATCCCCATGAGCAAATCCTGCATCGCAAACAAACCAAATGCACTTTGGAGTGAGCAGGCTAGTGATACTCAAACCTGGCTTTTGTATCATAATGAGTACATTTCTATTTGCAGGATTTACAATATCAATGCCTCAGCAGCTGTGAAACACATGACCAATCATGCTTTTAGGTGATGATGCAGGGAGTGGCTAAGAGGAAATTTCACAGAACAGGAAATATAGATTTAGCTAAATACTTTTAAACTCTTGAGCAAAAAGCAGTAAAAAGTGATCCTGAATAGACCTCAGCTGAGAATCTTCTGACCCCAGAGTCTGTGAACTGATGTCATAAAAAAGTCCTGAGAATCAGAAAACAAAAAGCATTTTCCCTGGAAGAATGAGGAAAAACAACCAGTAAAATGTTAAACTCATCTAAAAGATATTGATCTTTTTCTGCTGTTTGTACAGCAAACCTAAACACTTTGAAAGCCCCTTCCACAAGGCTGTTGTACTTTATTTTGTGCAGAGCAGAGGCTGCAGCATTATATGCATTTAAGAAACTCCAGACTTTCCATGACGGAGACAACGTTACATGTTCAGCTGTATTTTACAGCTAGAAGTTAGGAGTATTTGTTGAGCACCCAGGCCCCTTTGAGTCTAGCTGAGTGTACACAAGAGTTATTCAATCTAGAGGTGTGTGGTAGGTGTTTTTTTCTCTCTAGGGCAACGTGAATATGCTGACTGTCTTTGGTAATTCACTCAGATTGCAGCGAACAGCATCACTGTGTGGTCTGCTGCACAAATCATGCTGAGAATCATATAAGCCACAGCTGCATTGCCAGACAGTGCTCTGCATGTCACTTCATTCTCACTCATACATGACCACTAGTATTTATGACTATAACTAAAGTTCTGCTGTCATGCTGCTGGCTATGTGGGGTATGACCATCTACCTCCTCCATTCAGCTTCTCTACGTAAACAAAGAAAAGTAATATACCATAAAGCTGATTATCTTTCCAACAATTGTGATGAGCATCTCTGCCAAAGCTGCTCTTTAGTACTCCTAGAAAGCATAATATAACCACCAAACATGTCACCAGTAATCATTCAGATTCAGATTTTTCCCTTCTATTTGCATTAGTGAAGACCTATCTCGATCAAAATTTCTTTGTCATTATTTAAAATGTCATTTTTGTAGATGAACCAGAAATTTTGATTTTCAATGTGTATTAACAAAGTATCTGTTGTGAAAATGACAGCTGAACTATCAAATCTACAAGGCGTTAGGTTTCAAGAGGAAGACTTTCCTAAGCAACTGTGTCCAAGTAAACAATGAAACCAGTTTTAGTTCCTCTTTGAATTGTTCCAAATATACTTGAAAATGCACAGGAACCCACCATTTGAGGCTTTTACTAGTCACACAAAATGTACCAAGGGTCCACAGAATGAAACGGTGGAGCCATCTGCTGGAAAAAAAGTTTTAGCCAAGCCTTTAACAAAACAGAAGCAACATTTAACCAAATATAATCAAGAAAAAAAGAACAGTTTCAACCAAAAACCAACATGACCCTGATTTTTTTTTCTTTCAGGATGTATAAACCATCAGTAACAGGAAGGCTCACACGCAACATACATGTATTTCTAAACACAATTATGGTAATCTAATTCAATATTAGATTAAATATTTCCTGTAATTTTGTTGTTGTTGTTTTAGCTTTGCAGCCATTCCATTTTTTATCAGTTTTCCCAATAAAGAAAACCAACGGTGTGTAACCACCCACCTCTATCACTGTAGCCTGAAAACGTTTTGAAATATTGTTATTTATGGTATAGTGGTGACTTATCTTAATGCACAGGGAATCTTAGTAGAGCATCTTCATATAGTAAGCTTTCTTTTTTGTATTGTTTTTTTTTTCCAGGAAAGATAACCTCTCTGCATCTGATTACCTCCCCTTTTTGTATAGTAAAAATGTGCTTTATAAGTTTCTTTAAAGACCTCAGCTTAACCTTTAAGCATAAAATGTATACATCCTGCGTTGCTACAAGAGGGGAAAAAATGTTGTCAGACCTGAAAAACTCAGCATGTGTTCGGTTTAATCGTACACGCACAAAGAGAAAAACTAACCACAAGGATAGTTTTTCTCCAGGGCATGGAGGATTCCATTAGCTGCCTACATACAGTACATGTCCACACAAGTCTGTTTCCATGTGCTACACGTCTTGTTTCATTTTCACTCCTAATAAACCTCCGGATCCGCCAGGGGGCACTGTTCGAAAAAAGTTAGCGGACTATATTTCCATCAGGAACGCGGAAAAGGACTCTGTACAAGGTGGAGAAACTCGGTGTCCGTTGGGGGTGCTCTGAATAATCGTTTCACGGACATTTACCTCAGTTAGAGGCGGATATCTGTGTTGAACAGAGACAGCTGAGCTCTCCCGGGCGTGTTGTTCACTGGACCTGCGGTGTAGAAAGCAAAAGTAAAAGTGCTGCCTGGGATCATGGCGGAGAACATGGACGAAGGCATGCCCGAGGAGCCCCTTCCCATCCAGCAGGACCTGACCTGCCCCGTGTGCCAGTGCATCTTCCAGGACCCGGTGCTGCTGCCCTGCTCGCACAGCTTCTGCCGGGAGTGCCTGCGCCGGAGCCTGGAGGTGAGCCGCCGGTGCCCCGTGTGCCGGGAGCCCTTCGAGGGCACGCAGGCCATCAGCAACCGCTCCCTCCGGGACACCGCCGAGAGCTTCCTCAAGCAGGCGGACTGGAGGCCCAAGCAGAGCCGGCCGGGCACGGAAATGTGCAACCTGCACCTGAAGCCCCTGGAGCTGTTCTGCGAGAAGGACGAGGAGCTGGTGTGCGTGGACTGCGTGACGCTCCACGTCTCGCACACCCTGAAGCCCGTGAAAGAGGGCGCGCCCATCTGCAAGGTAACGTCTGCTGAGCACGTTCACACGGCCTCACGCGGGGAAACAACTTTATTTTCACGTTTTGCCATGAAAAAAAAAACTGACTATAACACGAAAATGATGTCTTTTATCAGCATTTTACAATTCAAAGTGCCTGACAGGATCTAACACACCTGTAAAGTAGGCTTTTGGTTGTCTTGGTCCCCGTTTGCCCAATCCAGAGCCCTACTTTACCACCTCACCAGCACAACACACCCATCCATCCATCCATCCATCCATCCATCAGAGTCCCTTCCCGCTCAAAGCGAAGCCCTTTCTGCGGCAACCCTATCCATAATCCATGAATACTTGCATTTTTGCACGGCGATGACCTTGTGACGCATTTCTAATTGTGTTTTTGCAGAAGTATCTTGGCGACAAAGTCCAGATATTTGAGAAGAAATTGAAAAAATACAAAAAAACGAGTCAGAGTTTCAAAAGCGCATTGGAGTACATCGAGGTACAGTTACTGTCTCATCATGCTCATCTGACATCAGTGTATAATCCTCAGTGCATTATTTCTGATTCTCGTTATGTAAAAATGCCATTTCTAACAACAAGGAATTTGGTGAAGTGTTTCCACATGGTATGACTGAAGTGTCCTGCATAGACCTACCCTCTTTGGTTTTCACAGCATCAGGCCGAGGAAGCAGAGAAGCAGATCAAGGCGGAGATCGACCGTCTCCGGCAGGTGCTTCTAAAAGAAGAAGCTCTGCGTCTGAAAGCGCTGGCTAATGAGAAGGAGGAGAAGATGGCAAATATGCAGGAACTGATCAGCCAAACCGACATTGAACTCACCGACCTGAATGATCTCATTGACACTCTGAAGAAAGAAATGGGCCGCGAGGATCTGCCGTTTTTACGGGTACGACAGGCAGCTCCTCCCGAGCTCGTTGCGTGCCGCGCTCGGTTTCTTCATTTATTTTTGGACGTAATTTAACCATATTCTTTTTGTGTGTGTGTTGTAGAATTTCAAGGAAGTGAATGCAAAGTAAGTCACTGCAAAACTCTGCATGGCAATCAGAAGACTTATTTCTAAATCTGGGATCGGCATACATTTTTATTATACATTTATGATTGTTGAAATATGTAGTTAAGTATGAGCACAAATAGTCATCATTGCTCATTTTTGATTTGCGTCCTTTTTTAAAATTATTATTACTTTTTTCTACAGAGCCGTGTGGACAGAGCTGGATCCCAGCTTTTGTTTCAGGGCCCTCCTGGATGTGAGCAAACACGTTGGTAGCTTGGGCTTCAAAGTGTGGAAGAACATGCAGGCCCATGTCAGATATTGTAAGTAACCTTCCCTGAGAGTTATGATCAAAACAACAGATGTTTCCACAAAAAAAGACAGCATTTTGTCGTGCCTGAGGTCATGTTTTAAGAGACTAAATGGCATGGCGTGGTGTCGCTGTGTGTGTGTGTGTGTGTGTGTGTGTGCAGATCCAGTGTTGTTCGACCCGAACACGGCCTCTCCGTGGCTCTCCTTGAACGCGGACTACACCAGCGTGAAAGAGAGCGCCGAGCGGCTGAGCGTCCCCGACAGCCAGGAGCGCTTTGACCCCTGCGTCTTCATCCTGGGTGCTCAAAGCTACAGCTCTGGCAAACACAAGTGGGACATCAACGTCGGCGACAACCCCAAATGGATCGTGGGAGTTTGCAACGAAACGGTGATCCGTAAAAAGAAGTTCACGGTCTCGCCTGCCAGAGGCGTGTGGGCCATAGGGCTGAGTAAAGGAGTGTACAGCGTCCACAACAAGGAGCGCACCGAGCTGCAGGTCCAGCAGCGTCCGGAGAATATTCGCATCAAGCTAAATTTAGATAAGGGAGAGGTGTCATTTTGGGATGGCGGGAGGGCCAAGCACCTGGTCACTCTTACACACAAGTTTGAAGAGAGGATTTTTCCAATTTTTGGCCCTGGGCTACATACTAGTCCAGTGTCTCTGGTTCCTGGAAAAATAGCTGTGCACACATCTTAAGAGGTGGAAATGTTGAGTATTGCTTTAGGATTAAAAAGGTCAAAAAGAGAAATGCATTTTCCTCAAATAAAAGGCCTTTTAAAGGCGCGCTCAGCTCAACAACTGAACAGGAGTTGTTTACACACATGTGAAGCAAATACTAAAAGATCCAAATGTGCAAATGAATTCAGATTTTCAAAAAAATGCTGGCGATGACTTTAGGATTGAGGTCAGGTTTTGGATACATGTCAGAACACTGTCCTGGTTGCGTATTGGAGTAAAAAAATTTCAAACTTAACTGTAGAATATGCAACCGATGAATACATTTGAGATTAATTGTGCCTAATTGCTTAATTGTGCTAATAGTGTGTTTGGGGAATGCCTTTGGAGGCCTGCATCAGCTCTTTCAGGGTCAGCACGGTGAAGACCGTTTGCCTGTGTGCCTTTACTATGGGAACTGATTAAGCCAATCTTTTTTCACTTTATGACGTGGAGACAAATCATACAAATCGTTGTAATATTAATATAAAAAAATAGATCATAGAAGGTCCCTTGTGGCCCTTAGATTTTTGCCTTAATTAAAAAAATTTGCATGTGACAACCAAAAGGTTTATTTTGAACTTAATGAATGTGGAGTCAGGGATTATTTGGGGATATTTTTGCTTTTTATATTTTCAAGGACTTGCATTATAAATGGTCTCTATGATTTAAAGAAATGTGATTTTCTCAATTTCTTCATTGGTTTAACACAGTTCTGCTCATTTTTATTTCTTTTTTTATGTAGGATTTTCTACAAAGGCTCCAAATGTGTTTATCAAGAAACGCTTCTTCAGCCAAATAAAATGTTTGTGTTGTATTTTGACCTATGTTGACTGTTCATTTAAATTTTTGGCGAAAAAATGCCTCGACAAACTTTTTTCGGCATTGTGAAATGGATATTTATAAACTACATCTGAAATACATACATATTAATGTGTGTGCTAACGTGATTATTCAAAATGTAGGTGCTGTACAGACAATAACTTCAGTAGCTGGACGTAGCCTGAGTACGAAGGTGCTTTAAGAAGACCCCAATCAGAAACAAACATCTGCCCCCAATTTCCCTTTCTCTGCTGTCCAGATGTTCAGAGGGTGTTCTCCATCTCCACTGGGTGGCAGTGGTGGTACAGGCCATTCTGGGCTCTGTCTTTTGTGTTGGTAACCACTGGGTACTGCTTGCCATAGACATATATGTAGACCCCGGTAGCCCCCATCCGGCCCCCGGTAGCTCCGTACCGACAGTCCCCTACCGGTAGCCCCCCACCGGGCCCCCCCCCCTACCTGGGGCCGGGTGCCAGAGGGGAGGGCCGGACCCCGGCTCATAGCCCCTTTCCGGTAGCCCCCGGTACTCCAAATAGGGTACAGACAGGGACCAGACCTAGACATATATACGTAGACGCCGTTGAGCCTGTTCGTCCGTTGCAGCGATAGGTCAACGAGTTCGCCATGTTGGATGTGGCAAAACTGCCCGTCAACTAATAAAATAAAATGGACTGAACTCCATAAAGCGACTTTCTACAAAGTGCTTTAAGTTAATGCACCTTATTCACCCATTCACACACACACTAATATACTGTATCTGGGAAACAAATAGGCACAAAAAAACGTATGTAACTTTTAAAGTTATTATAGATTTTTACTCCTGATGTTTAGGATATAGGGAAGCACCAACCCAGCGTCTGTACTTTTAATGCTGAGTGTTTTCAGCTACTAAAACCTGTAACTCTATTACTATAATATTGAAATAAAATATTGAAATTTAACATGTAATTTTTGTCCATAATAACCAGATCCTGAAAAGTAGATGTGGTTATCTGGATAAAGAGCACAGACATTAACATTTAACTGATTTGGATTAATCATTTTACAATTCACAATTATAATATATGTATAATATGTATAATATATGTATGTATATATATATATATATAGATAGATAGATAGATAGATAGATAGATAGATAGATAGATAGATAGATAGATTAAGGGTATTCAGTGTGGCCGTTTTGGCCTTAGTTTGTGGAATCACATCCTTTGTTTTTTAGGGTTAGCAGCTCTGATGATGCGTTACAGCATCAGACACCAAACTACCTCGGCATACTTTACAGGATAGCCTTTAGAGAGGTTTGCAGACATAAAACCCTGAGATTTACACCGGTTCACTGTCTGATCGCTGACTCCGATTCTCCACTTTGCCACATTCAAGATGGCGGCGACGTTGACGTACGATGCAGCCCTCAATGCGGCTATGTGTGTATATGTCTATGCTGCTTGCCAGCCGTAAACACCAAAACAACGCACATAACATGGACTCCAGGAGACGCATCGATGCCGTTAAGGAGTTACGTCGTACGCTGACAGGCTTCCCGACTGTTATTCCATCGGAGCAATAAAAAAACACACACACAAAATCCCGTGATTAAGAGAATATTTTTTTCCCCCCGAGGAATGATTTGTGATGTTATCCTGCAGCCACCGACGATTGCGCATCTGGATTTGGCTGAGACGCTGTTGCTAGCTAGCGCCCGAGCTAGCAGCGCACCGTGTTGCAGCGCCGCTAGCCTCGCTCCGCAGTGAGTTTCCCACAGGAGTGGCTAGCTCGCTTAGCTAGCTGTCAGTTTTCACTCCTCTTCGGAAGATACGCTTGTCTAATGGGTCACCAGCCGTAGAATATCTACCGAAAATGTAAATGGCCATGCGCCCAAAGGGACGGGAACCGGTAAGCCTGATGGACGAACGAGGTTACTAACCACCTAACGTACACGAGCAGTTAACGGTTTCTGCCAGCTAGCTTAGCTTAGCAGCTGTTAACGCTAGCTTTGTCATGATAGCTCACGGGGCGCCTCTTTGTGCCACTGCAAGATGGTTTATGTTTCAGTATAATGCCACACCAAGAAAGAAAACCAAATCACTATATGTCTTTTTGTGCATGGTAAAGCTGGGGCATTTACAGCTTCCAGCTGTTACGTGGCTTTAGAATTAGGATTTTTCTACAGGCTGCCTCGATTTTCATATTGCGCAATTATGCCTGATTGGACTTTTTCAACAAATCTACCAATTTGCGTAATGTGAATGGCATTGCAATTTAAAGAGGATTCATTCGAACACGAACAGTATTATTGAAAATAAGAATTATGCAACCTGATAGGGGGGCTGCAAGGGCCACCAGAAGTTTCATGTGGCAACTCCAGGCTCATGACACCAAGACCCACTGGATAATCAGAGCCTTGTATCTTGCTTGAATAGTTCATTTGTTTTGTATAAAAATTCTGACCTTATAGGCACAGATGTGTATTAAAAAAACAGGCCTATATTTGTTAAACTAGATCTAAATGATTTACTGCTATCTCCCCTTTTTCCCACTCACTCCAGGCAGTGCCAGTGATGGCCTCCCCTCTCCCTGTCTCCGTCATACTCCTGGTGTGTCTTCTTGGCATGTCACCTGTCTGCCAGGGAGGTGACTGCAAGGGCCACAGGCAGGTGTTGAGGGGCCCACCAGGTTACGTTACAGATGGAGCAGGAAATTACTCTGTCAATGGGAACTGTGAATGGCTCATAAAAGGTAGACTCGAGTAAAACTGCCAGTACAATTTCCAAGGTCTTAATGTTCTAATTTTTTATTACATTAAAAGTCGGTTCCCTTTTCCTACTTTTCAGCTCCCAGCAACAGTCACCGCATTGTTTTGAATTTCACCTTCATGGACACTGAGTGCACGTATGATTACCTGTTTGTGTACGACGGGGACTCCTACCAGAGCCCTCTGCTTGCCAGTTTGAGTGGCAACACTTTGCCTGAGTCCATTGAAGCCAAATCTGGCAAGGTAACCAGTTATCACCTCTTAATTCAGACTCTGTTTTTCGTTGCATTTGCCATCTGGAACTAGAAACAAATTGTCACTTTTTGTTCCCTTTTTATTTCCCTTGTTCCAGATGCTTCTTCATCTCTTCAGTGATGCAAACTACAACCTCCTGGGCTTCAATGCCACCTACACCTTCTCTTTGTGCCCTGGAGCCTGCGGCGGGCATGGTCGCTGTGATTCATCCACATCAAAGTGCCACTGCCATCAGGGCTGGGGAGGCCCGTCTTGTACAACACCTCTGTGCCCACAGGCCTGCTCTGTGAATGGCCTGTGTGATAAGGTGAGAGCCCAGAAAGGCAAAGAATTGACTGAAGGCTTACAGCAAAGCGAGCTGTACTGAAACCTAACTCGCCTCATTTCAGGCTTCACCTTTTTTCATTCTTGCTTGGTGTGCTTCCTCAGAAAGGAGAACTGTGTCAGTGTAACTCGGGTTTCCTGGGCCACGGCTGCCAGCTTGGTGTGCGTGATGACGGCGGGGCGGGCCAGTGGTGGCGTGTGAGTGAGGGAAACCCCTACACGCCTCCAAGGACGGGCTCTGCTGGTGCTTACCTGTCCTCAACTGGAGCCATGTACTTGTTTGGTGGTGAGTGTTCAAATTTGATGGCACTGATTCTGTATTTTGAGAACATAGTCATCTGGTAAGTTACTTATTCTTCATTCTTTTAAACCTTTGGCATAGTTGAACTTACAGTAGAGTTTGTCCTTTCATAATCAAACTTGTTATTTGAGTTAGAGCTTTGCTTAAGTTCTTTGTTTAAGCTGCTGTGGCCTTTTGAAGCCTTTGCCTGCTTTTCATTCTTCAGCAGTCGTATTTGAGCAGTATTTATCTTCCCTCTGCAGGATTTGATCTGAACAGAGCTCTGGGTGATTTGATTAAATACAACTTCACGTCTAACCAATGGGAAAGCCGATCCTATGGTCACTCTCCTGTAAGTGTTTTGTGCTCCAAATGTGCTGTCTGGACTCCGCCTTAGCTTGCAAATAAACCATCTATAGTAATTACGTTATTTTATTACTTACCAATGTGATGTCTTATTTCCCGATGTTCCTACTGTTGTTTCTTTTTGAGAAAACAAAACACATCAACATCTGTCATTATTCAACCATTCTTTGCCGTTCCTTGTCTTTTGCAGGTGGCTCGTCACTCTCACACAGCAGTTGAATATATGGGTAATATGGTTATCTTTGGAGGAGAGCTAGCCAATGGCTCCCTTGCCAGTGATGTTTGGATGTACCGGCCACTCTACAATGACTGGCAACAGCTTGGCTTTTCCAGCTCACGCGGTGCTCCTAAATTAGCCAATCACGCTTCCGCAGTAGTGGACACGTACCTATATGTGTTTGGTGGTAAGTCTGATTGTACATTTCAGTGTCCCCTTGCTATCTGTGCTAGGACATTCTTCTATTTTCACTGAAGAATTAAATTTTGGCCTGAACTTCTTTCACAGGTCGCACTGAGGAGGATATGTTTTCGTCAACCCTGTATCGGTTTGGCTTGCACGGTTCTGGTCGGTGGGAGACAGTTGTGCCCACTGGTGGGAAACCTCCAGCCACTGCTGGCCACTCCATGGTGTTCCACAGCCCATCCAGGACACTGTTGGTCTATGGAGGCCACAGACCCACCACTGCCAGGTACCCAGCCTCTCATGCATACTGAAAAGAGTTCCACATCTGTCAGTCTCGCTTCCTCATGTCAGCACAAACATGTTGTAAAATCCAATGCATATGATGACTGTGGTAAACAATGGGTTAACCTTAACAGATATTCCATGAAAAGCTGACATTTGTTGATTTCTTGTTTAAGGTTTAGTATGAGGGTGAACAACACTGACGTGTTCCACGTGGACAGGCGGTTTTGGACATCCTTTCGTTCCCGTTTCCCAGCGACTGGCCCGAGAGAAAGAGCTTTCCACACCGCCACTGTCATCGGAAACTACATGGTGGTCTATGGTGAGAATTAAGAGCGGCACCACAAACAAAACAAGCTTTGAGCATCGCAGCTTCATCAACGTTTCTCTTTTAAAAAAAAAAACACTTTTCTCTTCCAGGAGGGAATGTCCATAATCACTACCAAGAGGAAAAGTGCTACGACGAGGAAATCTTTTTTTATCATTTGGGCTGCCACCAGTGGGTGTCCTCTGGAGAGAGATGGTCATCCAGTAAGTGTCTGTAGACTTTAGCCTGTCTAAACTCATGCATTTGAGCTCTTATTTCCTTCAGTTAGCATATATCCATTTAGTGTTCACCTCTTCAGACTGAGTGCCTGCCTAACTTCTTGTGTTTATCAGATGGTGATGCCATCAGGGGGCGGTACTCACATGTGGCTGCTGTGATGGAGGGACGGGTGCTGCTTGTTGCTGGCGGTTACAACGGTGTTGCCCGTAGAGACCTTGTGGCTTACAAAGTACCACTGTTCGTTAGTAGTGATCAAGGTGACAGGGTGAGTTTAAGAAGCCGCGACACACATTGTTTTTTAATAATATTTGTGACGTCAGACCGGTCTTCTACCAAAAGACTCCATTTTCTTTTAGTTAATTTTGGATAAATGGTAGATCTGCTCTTAGCATTAAACAATCATTTATCAAGTCTCTGGTTGGGTTTTGTCTGAACAATGTACTTAAAACTAAACTATATTAGTGCAGTTGTCTTTGTACCATGTTTGAATGTGTTTGCTTGCGTTCCCTGACCAGGATGCTGTTTGTGCGGAAGCACTAGATGAAAGTATGTGCTTAAAGAACCCAGAATGCAGCTGGTGTGAGGGCCGCTGCCGAGAATACCAGCCCACCAACCCGGTAACACTTCCCGTCGAGCCTGTTTTGTTTAATTCCGTTTTAAAACTTTTTAAGAGTAGTAACAAGTGTATTAATTGCTTATTCAAATGTTATCAAGCCCTTTGCTGTCTTAACCTCCACATGTCTGTAGCGATGTTTGTCAGGTTCCATCTGTGGTGTGTAAGTGCTGTTTTCTGGTCACAGTGTGGCAGCACCGGGTGCCTGGGCCTGGCTCGCTTCCTGTCTGACTGCCAGTCATGTCTGGTGTTCAGTGGAACACCAGCAACTTTAGCTCGAGCCCCGGGTGAATTTGGCTGGTGTGTTCAGAATGAGTCCTGCCTTCCAGTTTCAGGTGAGACCTAGGAAGGGAGGAAGGAGGGCAAGAGATGAGGGTCAAAAAGATGTTGGGAGTTGACATGGGAGGGACAAGACTTCTGTTGGATGTGTCTCTGAGATGGAATTTACTGACTTGATTTCACAGTTTGGACCGACGGCTCCGACTTGCCTGTCCAAACAGGAGCTATATTTCCTGTTGTGCTGTGAAGTCATGTCATTTTACTCCTTCTGAACACATCCCACACACGTCACAGACCACACTCTTTTCAGTACAGTGGTATACTGTAGGAAACTGCTGTATTGTGAAACACATAAGAGGTCAGATGTGTTCTTTGTGTGCTGACCTCTCCCTCTCGGTCTCACAGAGCGAAGTGCGTGCCGTGTGGACCAGATCTCAGGGGCGTACGGCTGGTGGGGGGAGCGTACCCTTTTCCTAACCTCCCTCCACTCCTGTCGCACCGAGAACTATGTCCCGGGACTGCACCTGCTCACCTTCCAGCACCCCCGCAACGACTCCCAGCCTGACAAGGTACGGAGTCCAAATCTCAACTGCTTACTATACAAGTTCTGGTTTTAATTGCTTCCCTCTGCTTATATTCATTCCTCCTTCCTTCGTTCCTTCCTTTCAGACTTAAACAGCAGTTTCCAAACTGAAATATTTTTATGCCGTATCGTTAATTATACCTTCTGTGGTCTCTCTTTTTCTCTGTTTTGCATAGAGAAGATGTATTTTTCCCCAAGTAGTTTGTAAAACTTGTGGCGCAGTTTGTAGTGAACAGAGCTATTGTTGATGTAATTCCACTTCCTTCCATCCCTCTCTATCCTTCGTCCACATCATCCATCCGCTAGGTGTCCATCCTCCGCAGTACCAACATAATTCTTAGCCCCACTACAGAAATGGATGTAGCACTACAATTCAGAGGCTTCATCCATCCACTGTGGGGTGGGCCTCCACCAGCACCCCCTCCAACAGAGACTGTATCCATGTGGGCTCGAATCCATAGGCTGCACTTTGAAGCTCAGATGGCGTCAGGACCCAACTCCAGCCAACTGGTGAGGGAAATAGCAGTTTAGTAGAAATCTCAAAACTCTGGAATGAAGTGAACTAAAGATATGTTTTTCAAAAACAACAATCACACCTGGTGGGGTCATGCAATCTTTGATTTATAGAATTTTGCAGTTCCATCTCATAAAGGAATGTTTTGACTCCTGAAAGGCAGGTCCTCCGAAGGAACGTTTCAACAAAATAAATGTACCGCTGAATTTATCAGCTTTCTCATTTTTTTAGGAGCTCGTGGGTCGTTGGGCAGCCCAACAGGAGAAGGAGTCTAAGCTGTTGGTTCGGCCTGATGGGAGTAGACTGTTCTCTAACCTGACCAGAGGTAACCATTACCTTTTTCAAGCTGAAGGCTACCTTAACAACTCAGGCTCAGGACAGACAAGTGAAATGGCTCTCACCTGGAACAGAACCTTACCTGGAAGTGTGAGTACTAATGACAATAAAGCAAAAAAGAAATTTCACTTAAGAGTAGTGAATTTAAAGGAAAAAACTAAACAGAAACATCAGAAATTAAAGCCACGTCATCTGAGGACTCTCTTTAACCTTGTTTTCTAGGAGATCTCTTTTCTGTTCTTGGAGCCGTACCGCTCTGGTTCCTGCTCCGGCTACATGTCCTGTCTGGCCTGCTTGTCTGATCAGTCGTGTGGCTGGTGTCCGTCTCTGTCCCGCTGCCTGTTGCGGGATGGTCCTGATCCGGAACATTGTCCAGAGGCAGAAAATGTTGAAGGCAAAGGAGAAGGTCAGCGCCACCTGCTGCTGGCTCCACAGCACTGCACCCTGTGTGAGGAGTACAGAGATTGCTCTGCCTGTACTCAGGTACAATACAGATAACACCTGGCAGAATTTATTCAGTGTGTCTATTTTTTCTGCAGATCTTGAATAGCATTGTTGGGATAGAACGTATTTCTAGAGCAAAATTATCTTTGGTTGCAGGACCCTTATTGTGAGTGGCAGATAAACTCCAGCAAGAAAGGTGATTATCAGTGCAGTCGGCGAGGAAGACTAGAAGGGTCAATACGTGATCCAAGGGGATGTCCTAAAGTCTGTAACCAGTAAGCTGAATAACGGGTTTTACCATTTGTTATTTCAGATACATACATGCTTTCCGCAAGATCCTTGAGCTTAAATTTACTATTCACCCATATTTTTCTTGCATAGGAGAAGGACCTGTAGTGAGTGCCTCTCAAACTCCAGCCAGTGTGCTTGGTGTGAGTCAGCCCAGGCCTGCTTCTATTTCGCTGCCTACCTCACAAAATACCCATATGGAGAGTGCAGGGACTGGTACGACAGGTAAACAGAAAACTGCAGGGCGCCAAAAATGCAGAAAAGGTCACAATATGGAACTAAATGCTATTGGTTTCAACTTAAACACATATCTATTAATTTGTTAGTTATATGAATAAACATGTGATTCATTTTTTTCTAATCTCTTGCGGCTCAGTGTCCATTCAGTCCCACAGTGTAAACAGTGTTCAGCTGTGAACACGTGCACAGACTGCCTGAGAACATTCCAGTGTGGCTGGTGTGGAGACTACAACAATCCTACAATTGGAAAGTAAGTACAGTGTCATTATCAAAAGTGCATATAACATGTTAACTACGATCTTTTGTATTTAGTTATTTTTTTTCTTTTCAGGTGTTTGAGGGGAGACTGGGCTGGAATGGATGATCCGTTGGCGTATAACTGCAGTCTGGCTGTGGCTGAAGCTCGGGCTGCTAAGTAAGAGATCCTCTCAATACATATATGACTCATGTCAGAAATTTGAAAAGGGCTTTGTGACATCTGTTCAGCCCATATCAACAAAAATTTAAACATGTGAACAGCAAAAGTTTGTAATGAAGATTTTCTTCGCTTTTATTGTGCTTTGACGAGACGATCATCCTCGGCAAAAACTCACGTCATAAAAAAAAAAAAAAGATTCTTTGTGAAGTAATTTCAGGATCACATCTGCCCTCAGTCCTGAGCCTCAGACCTCAGCTCCACCCAGACCTCTTGAAATGGAGATGGAGCTAGAACACTTGGAAGATGAGGAACAAGATGCAGTCTGGTCCTACCCCACGTGTCCTGATGTGGAGGAATGTAGACTGGGTCTCCACAACTGTCACCCGTTTGCCACCTGCATCAACACTCCCACATCTTATGAATGCCACTGTGAGAGAGGATACACAGGGGATGGCACGTTGCACTGCAACCAGACGTAAGAGTTTTTCTGTAAACCCATACATTAGTTTTTTTTTTTTTTTTTTTCTTCATGTAAAATAAAGAGTCTCCTCTGCTTTTTTTTTTCACCACAGATGTTACAATGAGTGCCGTGAGGGCCAGTGTAGCGGCAGTCCACGGTTTGAGTGTGAATGTTCTCTGGGCTGGACATCTGATCCAGCTACTCTGGTTCTGAGTGGCGTGGAGTGTGACGTAGACTGTGGCTGCAACTTCCACTCCACCTGTATCACCGCCCCAGGGATCTGTGACGAATGCCAAGGTGAGATGTAAACATATGTACTTCATTTACTTTCATGAATTTCATCTCAATCTTTCAGTTTCTAAAAGCCACATTACATGTGCCATCTTTCAGAATAAAGAAAGTGTTATCAGCGTGATTGCTGAGTGGGTAAATAAAACCAGTTGCATTAATTTGCCTCTCAGATTGGACTACAGGGCCTCACTGTGAGCACTGCCGTCCGGGTAGCTTTGGCTCAGCCCTGGCTGGTGGAGGCGGCTGTGTGCCATGTGAGTGTAACGGGCACGGCGACCCGATGCAAGGGTACTGTCACAACCAGACGGGCCAGTGCTACTGCACTCACAACACCCAGGGACCACACTGCGAGTCCTGCCTACCTGGTTACTATGGAGACCCCAGGTAAGGAGAGCGTCAGCGTACAGCTTGAAGTAATACACATTTTTCATTTCATATTTTGAACATCCTGGCATGTATTTGGTTCATTCAGTCATCTGTTTGATTTCTCTCCTTGTGGCTTTTCTGTGCTGACAAATAGAAACAACGGCACATGTTACCGGCAGTGCCAAGGCCGCTCCGTCCTGCTCTCCTCCACCTCCTCCTCTTCCATCCCCCTGTCGTCTTCTTTGGGATGGCGAAGTGGCACAGAAGGGAAGGGGGGGCTTTCTCATTGCTTGTGGGTCTTGTCTGTCTCGGAGAACTTGGCACCTTGTCCGCCCAAACAGATCTGTCCCCCAGTGGCCCTCACTCTGCACCCGGACTCCCACACATATTGTAAAGTGAGTTACTTGAAATAACTTGAATAGTACACACAATTTATATTGAAGCTTAAAATGATTGTCAAAATGATCATCAATCCTAATGTGTAATGATTATTATAATTTTTTTTTTAAAGAGTTCCTATGTCTATGTGTTTGATGGCCTTCCTCGTTTTCTGGGCAATGGAGTCGTACATTCGGATCACAATCTTATTGGAGCTTTCTGTGGCACCACAAGGACTCAGCCCATTACAGTGGAGGCCACCTCAGGTATGCTTTAATCTGAGCATTTAAATGACTTTCACATTCAGTGATAAACACATTTAAACACGTTTAGTAAAACTGACTTATTTTTTGTGTGTATGCTGCTCTTTGACTGATGAATCCCCTCAATTTTCAGGACTGATCTCTGTATACTTTGAAGCCAATGTCTCTTCAAACAAACCGCAAGGCTTCAATGCATCTTTTTGGGTTCGGCGGTGTCACCAGAGCTCTGATGAGGACGAAGAGGGATCGTCTGTTTGTCCAAGTGGAGCACAGTGCCAGGGCGGTGTCTGCCAGTGTCCACAGGGGTTCGGAGGACCGCACTGTGACCGGCCCATATGCCCTCAAGATTGTGGAGTAGCCGAAGGAAGAGGAGTTTGTAATACCGTAAGACGTTTTATAATCAAGAAGGCTTATTTGTATGTTACTTTTACAGAAAGATCATTCATTCAAAGAGGGAATTGTATATCTGACCCCCGGATTATTTCTTCTCAGTCTCTGGGGTTGTGTATGTGCTCAGATAGCTGGGCTGGCTCAAACTGCTCAGTTCCTCGTGACCCCAGCAGCTTGATTTGGGACACTCTGCTGGACACTCAGCTTACAATGGTGGGAAGTGATAAACAAAAAAAAATTTCATTTAATGAATTAAACCCCCATGCTGACGCAATTCCACATTCATGAACTTTTTTGCTTGACAGAACCAGGCACATCGGTTCCTTCACAGGATGGGACATTCTATGGTGTCTGGACCACAGGGAAACCTCTGGATGTATGGTGGGCTCTCGCTGTCGGAGGGCATTCTTGGGAATGTGTACAGGTAGGTGTGTGATACTGTAAATGCTTAGACTACAGGACTGTAAGAGTTGGGTTTTTGGGATTTTGTATTGCTGTAACACCTGTGTGATGAAGTGCTTTATGTAGTTGAAACTTTCCTGTTCATGTATTTAGATATTCTGTGCTGGAGCGTCGTTGGACCCAAATGTTAACAAGCACTGCGGACGAGGGTTCGACTCCTAGCGCTCGCTATCACCACGCCTCTGCATTGGTCACAAGTTTTGAGTCGGGTTCTGGAGGCCAGGGAGCAGGCCACAACTTCATGTTGGTGGTGGGCGGTGTCACTCGGGATGGTGTTACCATGGATACGTGGAGTCTCAATCTCAGTAGCTTAGTCTGGAGAGAACACAAGGTTAACGTTTGGCTATTGAAGGAAATATTGAAAATTTGAAAATGAACGATTTTTGAACGAAATAAACAAAAGATTTTCCTCCACCTCTGACAGAGCTCAGTGCTGCCCCCAGTGGCAGGTCACACCTTAACCGTACGCCGAGGCTCCTCTGTGATGCTGATTGGAGGCTATTCTCCAGAGAATGGATTCAACCACCACCTTCTAGAGTTCAGCCCTCAGACAGGCAACTGGACCATCGCCCCCCACACGGGCACACCACCTACAGGTTTGTAAAAGCCTTCTTGTGTTGTGACATTTTACAGAGAATGCGTAGGCATCGTTTGGCTTAGGGATCCAGTAATTGATTTTGATTTAAAATCTGATAGAGAGGTAAAGGAATAAACAAGAAAATAAGAAAGAACCTTGGCCAGACTTGCAAACAAGTGGGGGGAAAAAAATAAAAAATGTAGAATTCAGGAATAGCTTATTTAACTCACCAACATATATCTGATGGAAATTGTGTCCTTTCACCAGGTTTATATGGCCACTCGGCTGTGTACCATGACCAGACTGATGCGATCTATGTGTTTGGAGGCTACCGCTTTCACGTGGAGACAGTGGAGCCATCAGGCGAACTTTACAGTCTCTATTACCCCAACCTCACCTGGTCTCTGCTTGTCCCCTCTCGGGGTATGAAGGTAAGAATGTTTTTTACACTATTGCTATTAGAATAGCCAAGCAGTCAGCCCACAGCACAAAACCAACTCATCTGTTCTTCCTATATGATCTTTGTGCCTTGCAGCCCCTTTCTCGTTTCTTCCATGCTGCAGCTTTGATCAAAGACACCATGGTCATTGTTGGGGGGAGGACAGAAGCAGAAGACTACAGTAACTCTGTTTTTCTGTACCAGGTCAACTGTAACACCTGGATACAACCAGGTGATGTCTCAATGCAAATTGCAGCTGATTCGGATTAATTTATGCATAAAGACCCACCAAAACTTTAGCCCTTCCCATCTCCTCTTTTCAGTTTCTGCCATAGGAGATCCAGTGAATCGCTCCGTGTCCTTGGCTATGACGAGCTGGGATGGTCACCTGTTCCTTTCAGGGGGCTTCAATGGGGTTACACTAGGCAGACTCCTAACTCTGTCTGTACCCTCTGACCCTTGTGCCCTGCTACCTACACCGGAGGCCTGTAATACCACCACAGGGAGCTGCACTTGGTGCAGGGGAATCTGCGCTTCCTCCGATGCTGCTGAGAGGTAATATGCTGCTGTCGTGGTTTTTTTAGCTTAAAGTTAGTCATGGCTTGTAAATTGAATGCATTTTAACTTTTAACTCTGGATCATCTCCACCAGAATGGGCTGCGTTTCTGGGCAGTTGACCTGTACCCCAACTCCTCGTCAACCAGACCAATGCCGCAGACTCAAGACCTGTAGCGAATGCCTTGCTCGACACCCAAAAACATTTTCCAGTCCATCACAGGTAACAAACAACATAATGAATCGTACACAATCACACAGAGAACGGTTCTGTTAACTGACATTTGTTCTTTTCTAGCCTGCCTTACAGTGTAAGTGGTGCACAAACTGTCCAGAAGGGGCTTGTATCAACAGCTCCGTCAGCTGTACATCTGAACATGACTGCCGGATCAACCAGAGGGAGATTTTCCTGTCAAGCAACTGCACTGAGACGAGCTGCGAGGCCTCTGATTGCCCAAAGTGTACTGCTTCTGGGAAATGCATGTGGACTCGACAATTCAAACGCACAGGTACACAGAATGTAATGCTGATGTTGCGGAAAATGTATCCCTAAGTAAGATAAAACACCAAATGCAATTGAGATTGATTGGCATTATAGCTAAAAATGGAATAGGTTTTTTTTTTTTTTTCTGACAAAAAAAGAAAAAATGTAATGTTTTTTTTCCTTTTTAGGCGAGACAAGACGCATCCTGAGTGTGAACCCCACTTACGACTGGACGTGTTTCAGCTACGCTCTGCTCAACGTCTCCCCTATGCAGGTGGAGTCCTCTCCCCCTTTGCCATGCCCTCCCCCCTGCCACAGTCTCAACAAATGCAGCCTCTGTCTGGGCTCCAGAGGCTCAGATGGGGGCTGGCAGCACTGTGTCTGGAGTATGGCTCTGCAAAAGGTGAGATTAGAGATCCTGGGCTCCACAATGTTCCATCCTTCATTTGATCGAAAGTACAAAAAGCACTCTCTTTTTTCCCTCCTGCAGTGCATGAGCCCGTCTTTTGTGCCCCTCCGTTGTGAAGCGGGCCAGTGTGGTCGATTGCTTTCAGGGGGGGACTCCTGCTCTCCCCAGTGCTACCAGCTCACCCAGTGCTCACAGTGCATTGCCAGACCTCAGTGTGGCTGGTGTGCTAATCGGGGGGGCAATGGGGCTGGTCGCTGCATGCAGGGAGGGCTTGATGGTGAGAAACGCCCTCAGTCTAAAGTTTGACAGAAGCTTTCGGTTTTGCCAAAGCCATTCAGATTGATATCAATTTCTGTTCCAGGCGTCAGTGAAGGAGTTTGCCCACTGAGAAACAGCAGCTGGTCTTTCCTCCATTGTCCAGAGGAGGACGAGTGTGCCAACGGCCACCACCATTGCAACAGCACACAGGACTGCCATGACCTGCCACAGGGATACCACTGCACCTGCAAGCAGGGTTACATACTCAGCAGGTAGCTAACATGCCATGTAGGGCGTTGTAGTCACTTGACGCGTTGGTCCAAATCTTCTTCTCTAGTTTTTAGAGTTAACTTCTGTTTTCTCTGTGCAGCGTTTCTGGCCAGTGTGAGCCGGTGTGTGCGCAAGGCTGTGTGAACGGGACATGTGTGTCCCCAGGAGTTTGTCAGTGCCACTTTGGATTCGTAGGGGACAACTGCTCCTCTCAGTGCAGCTGCAACAAACACAGCAACTGTGCTGGAGTGAACAAACCAGATGTTTGCCTGGAGTGCCACAACAACACCATAGTAAGTGCCTGTAAAATATCTGCACCCACTCTCTCTTATTTTAACCATTTACTGTGTGATGACTGTTGCTTTCTTACCCTTATCCAGGGAAAGCACTGTGAGAAATGTAAGCCTCTGTTCGTGGGCTCTGCGAAGGGTGGCGGCACTTGTCGTCCCTGTCGAGAGTTTTGCAAGGGAAACAGTGCTGTGTGTCTGTCAAGAGATGAGCTCGAAAAGGCGCTTGAAAACCCTCGGCTGTTCCCTCTGGACGCCAACAGTGTAAGTGTATTTCTGTTAGTTCGCAAAACAAAACCAAAAAAACAAGACTGTGGGACTGTTTACTTACAAATGCTTTCTTCTTTTCCAGATTCAGAACTGGGTGTCTGAGGGTCCCACAGAAGATAACGCTGTGTGCGTGAACTGTCAAAACAGCAGCGTTGGTGACAAGTGTGAGAGCTGTCTCAGTGGCTTTTTCTTACTCCAGGGGAAGTGTGAGAAGTGAGTTATGTTTGCTGCCTTCAGATTCTTTTGTCAAATGTGCTACAAACTCCAGTTTCTACTATACCACCTATGTATGGCATTTCGATTCCCTCCCCCCACCCTTTTTAATAAGATTAACAGCATGTGCATGTGTCTCAAAAAGATCTTTTGGACCAACCGAGTGTGAATCTCTTCAATGCAGGTGTCAGTGTAACGGCCATGCGGACACGTGTAATAAACTGGATGGTGCAGATTGCCCATGCCAAAATAACACTGAGACATCGTCCTGCCTCAGCAGCCCCCAGAGTGAACGGAAAGACTGCTACAGGCATCAAGTACAGCTTTAATGATCTGTGTCTTTGTCTACAAACGTTTGTTTTATATTACAACAAAACAGCTTGTTTTATTAGGCATATCTAAAATGGAGAAAACATGATCTTTGTTCAGATTGTTTCTATTTTGCTCTTTCATTTAGTGTGCAAAGTGCAAAGACTCCTTCAACGGGAACCCTGTGAACGGGCGTCAGTGCTACCGTCAGCTCAACGTGGACACTGAAGGCTGCTTTGATCCCACCTCCCAGTCTAACTGCTTCCATGATCCCACCATTCGCAACCTCCCCATGGGCCGTACCGTGTTTTTTGCCGCCCAGCCAAAGTTCACAAATGTGGACATTCGGGTCACCATTGACGTTACCTTTGGTGAGGTGGAGGTTTATGTGTCCAACTCGCACGACACCTTCATCGTGGATGTGGACCAGCACTCAGGGATCCACACCATCAAAATAGAGGAGGAATCAGCAACTCGCGGGACCACCACAGGGGCCGACAGGGATTCTCCTCCGTCACCGATAAAAGTGTTTGCCAATTCTTCGTCCAGCATCGGAGGTCCTGTGATCCCCCACAGTCCGCTGCAGCTTCAGACCAAACAGCCTGGGGCAGAGAGAGAAATCAGAGAGGAGCATGCTGAGGGGCTCATTACCTACATAACCGTCTGGAAACCACAGACGGTGCTGATCGTTCGAAAAGTTCGAGATCGTGTGGTCATCACTTTCCCACATGAGGTGCACTCCCTGAAATCCAGCCGCTTTTACATCGCTCTCAGAGGTGTGGGAACGGACCAAAGACAGGGGGAGTCCCAGGGCCTACTCTTTCTGCGACAGGACCAAGCCCATATCGACCTCTTTGTGTTTTTCTCTGTTTTCTTCTCCTGCTTTTTCCTCTTCTTGTCTGTCTGCGTCCTGCTGTGGAAGGTGAAGCAGTTCCTGGACTTCCGCAGGGAGCAGCGCCGTCACATCCAGGAGATGACCAAAATGGCTTCCAGGCCCTTTGCCAAACTCACCATATACCTTGAGCCAGAAGAGCCTCAGCTCATCTACTTACCCTCAGGGGTGGGGGGCAGCACGGTATCGCTGGCTCATACCCGCACCGGCAAGCTGGGCAGCGTGGTGGTGGGTCACAGGGGAAGAGCGGGACCCGTCTCTTACAAACACGAGCCGGGTTCAGGACCCACAGCCCACCACCACCACCACCTCACCTTAGGCGGAGGCAACAACGGACAGCACCTACCACTGCACTACCTGAACACTCATCACTACGCCAACACTACAGCTGTCACCCAGGCCTCACATCACCATCCATCCACATACAGCGGCTACCAGCACTTTTGCCGCTCCGACCCGTTCCTCTCCCAGCTGATGGGCTTCTCCTACTCCACCTTCAAGGTAGGACCCATCACCCTCGAGCCCACAGATGACGGCATGGCCGGGGTGGCCACTGTCTTGTTCCAGCTTCCGGGAGGCGTCTTGGCTCCAAATCGTGCCTGTCTGGGCTCTGCACTGGTCACTCTGCGCCAGAATCTGCAGGAATATTGTGGCCACGGCAACGGAGGTGGGCACCCAGGGGCTGGTGCAGGGCGCAAGGGCCTGTTAGGGCATCAGCACCTCACCACTATGGCCATGTAGAGACAATAGCAGCTGATCTTAAAGAAATAAGGCAAATTAAAGAGAGATATAAGCCTGTACAGCGTTTGAAATATCATAAAGGAATTTTTGAAACACACCTTTAAGGTGAAGTCCAAAAGAAATAGTTTCTGTACATCAGAGTGGGTAATCTTGAGCATCATGAACAGACATGTACATACACTGTAGAAGGAAATATAAGCGTCTTTAATTGTATGATGTATTGCTTTACTGTATTTCAGTGCTTCACATGACCAAGTCAGCTTTCTCTTGAATACTGTCACGCGTATCATCAACATAATGTTACATGGCATCCACGATCACTGTGGAAAGAGAACACTAAAGACTGAAGCTGGACTCCTGTTTAAATTATTCTCAATGACCAAGGATGATATGAAAGAAAAAGAGGAAAGAAAGGCGCGCTTTGGAACCAACATGTGCTTTATATCCCAAAAAGTGACAATCAGGAATGCTGTTGAGAATAATGGATTTAAACTGGTTCAGCCTAATGTGAAAGATTTTGATTGTCAGCCCAATGCAGGAAAAAAGAGTCAATGTTGCAGGTGAGATGTTTTTTGTTTGTTTGTTTTTTATATTGGGTCAATATCAGTGATTTGTAATTATAACCCAGTTTGTGGCTGGCTTGTAAGCTGTGTGTTTCTGTTAAACAGACTCCTCTGTATGTTTTTTGCATAGAAATTCACTTAGTCTGTTACATTTCTTTGTCTCACGTGTCTTCACTTCTTGCCTTGTCAGTGAGTCGCTTGGCTTACACTCTTCTTCTCTTTTTAAAAGCTTGTTGCGCATCTCCCCAAGGATGTAAAAGCAAATTTTGAATTTGGTCTTATGGGTTGTTTTTGTAAGAAAGAAATCGATGATGAAGGATATTGTTTTCATCAGTGCTCTGCAGCTCTTCACACTACAGTTCGTAATATGTGGATTTTGTCCATAAAATGAAGAAACTGTCCTTTGTAAGTGTTTAATTACCATTTTGTTTTTATGATGTTGGTCTTTGTCTGATTGTGATGGATTGGCAGCTTTCCTGCTAAAATGATTGTATTTGCCAATCATAATTACAGTTCGATTAAAGTAATTGGATATTAGAAAAATGCAGTTTGAAAGATGTTCCAGTGAAATTGGAAAGAATTGCAGAAGAAGTTCTCCTGGAGAGAGGTTTCAAAATGTTTGGACTGGATCTTGTTCACTTTTGTGTTGACGTTGGTATTTTTGTTTTTCATTTTGCACTACGTGGTGCCAATGTGGCCCATAATCCACATGAAAGCAGACGTCCATCCTCAGGTGGTCCACTTTGTCGTGTCAGAATGTTTCCCCCTGGCCTCTTATCAAACACGATCATGCATTTCTTTTTGTTTCCTTGAGCTGCTGCAGCCTAAAGGAATGTGGTCTGAGCGGCCTTCCACATGCAAGCGATAACACTTTGTTTTGTATTTCTGTGTATATTTTACTCTTATTTTTAACATGCTTTATTTTTGTACATAACTTTCGTTGTGTTTGTATTTGTTATTTTTGAAGAAGGGAACACTGTTGTAAAAGAAAAAAAGACTGAATGAAAATTCAATGTCTTGAGTCAGCTGAAATAAAGTCTGTGGAACATGAATGTGCCAGGGCTGGGCAGTTTGTTTGCTCATTTATGTATTTATTTTAAAGCCAAGCTGTAAAACATGCTGAGACAAAAACCAAACATGCAATAGAGCATATTCTGGAATTAGAAACCTGGAATATATATTCACGGCTGTCATAATAAATAAGCGCCTTAATGTAAACTCAGAGATTATAGTTTAACACCCCAAGAGTTTTATTATACCACAGAAATGTTTATTTAGATTTAGTCAAATATTCCATTTATTTATCTGCTGAGTTGTGAATAAAAATTTTAAAGATGTACCATTAATTATTTGATACACCATTTATGCATAGATCATTTATACCTTTTTTTAAATGGGAAAAAATATGTGCAACAGCAAATACAATTACTCATTTATGAGACTATAATGTTGGTTTTTTTTCTCATCAACTCCAGAACAAACAAAAGGCTAGAAGTGACTTTAATAGTGTTTGGGGTGTTCAGTGAGCATCAGTGGTTTGAGTTGGTTGGTCAGAAGTAGAGGAAGTATGCGCGGCTCTTCCTGTGTTGTTTTCTCGCCACACAATGTAGCCAGCTAGCAAAGGCCAGCGTTTCTATCTGGAAACAGCCTCGTCCGGGTCGCTTCCTCTTCACCGGTGAGTACCTTCTCTGAAACGGTCCACGGCCAGGCACCGGGAGCAGCGAAGCTCCGGCGAGGCGGCAGAAAAACGAGGCGCCGCGTTAAGAATCCTGCCGCTGTTTGCGTGGCTAAGCGGCGAGGCTAACGCTAGCTGATGTGTAGCTCCAGAGGCAGCAGTTGTCAAAGCCTGTGTGTGCGTGTGTGTGTGTGTGTGTGTGTGTGTGATTTCACGTTAGTTTGCGTCTAACCGCTCTTTTCTGGCTCTTTCTGCCTGGACGTTTGATTAATCGCTATGTTGATTTGCTCCACAGCACGGTGGGAAGAGCCAGCCTCGCCGTGAAGATGAAACCTGGGAAGAAGAAAGCCAGGAAAGGACAGAAGCGGCAAAACGAGGCTGCAGTGAAATCCCAGGCTGAGGCTGAGGCTGAGGCTGAGGCTGAGGCTGAGGCTGAAGCTGAAGCTGAGGCTGAAGCTGAGGCTGGCTCTCACGAGGAAAACACAAACGGGGAGGATTTGAAAATCCTCGTAAAGGAGGAGCCGCTTCCACTGGAGATCAGCGAAGAGTCATCGCACATTTTAGACACTAAACCTGACAACATTAGCGACATTAAAGTGGAGTATGAATCTGACCACCGGCCGGAAAAGCCACTCACCGAAGCCGCTGTCAAGGAGGAGTCCGAGGAGTGGATTAAAGAGGAAAGATGGAGTGATGAGGAGGCGGAGGATGCTGCCAACATCCGAGAAGACTTTGAGGAGGGAGAGGAAGTCTGCAGAGGTACAAACCCTCAGCTCAAAGGCCCTTAAGATTTCTCAGTATTATTGCTTTGCCATTTTCCTTGTCAGCATGTTTGGTTGCACCGACAATATGAGATGGACAAGGCTTTCAGCCAGCTAATCAGAAAGTTGTCCTTTATGCTAACGCCGCTTTCTGTCTCTGTCTTTCTCCCTCTTAGAGTCATCGTCTGAGTTTTTCCCATGTCCTCACTGCACTGTTTCCTTCACCGACCTGGACTTCCTGGAGAAACACGTGAAGTGGGTCCATCAAAAGGAGTACCTCGCTAATCTTAAAAAATCCCTCCCCAACCACACGCTGAACTTTGTCCCCAAACACGGCTGTAGCATATGCAGCAGCTCCTTTAAGTCCAAGGTGCACCTCAGGGTGCACGTGCGCGAGGCCCACCCCGCCGCCCCCCCCCGCCGGCTGCACCCCTGCCCGACCTGCGCGCGCAGCTTCCAGTACCTGAAGAACCTGAAGAACCACTGCCAGCGCTGGCACAGCATGTCGGTGGTGACGCGGGGGGGCCACCTCAGCTGTGCCGACTGCGGGAAGAGCTTCAAAGCCACCTGGGGCCAGGGGCCGCACCTGTGCAACCAGCCGGACACGGCCCGACGCGAGGACAAGCCCATCTGCCTGGACACCGGCGTCCAGTGTCCCGAGTGCGGCAAGAAAGTACGGACTCCTCAGAGCCTGGAGGACCACATGCGCACCCACACTGGCGACCGGCCGTTCGTCTGCAAGGACTGCGGCCGGAGGTTTGTGGAGCGCAGCAGCTGGCGGCAGCACGCCAAAATCCACTCGGGCGAGAAGCCCTTCAAGTGCGAGGTGTGCGGCAAGGCCTTTCTGCGCTCGCACCACCTCAAGTGTCACCTGACCACTCACTCTGGCAAGAAGGAGTACTCCTGCCCCGAGTGTGGGAAAGAGTTCGGGTTCAAGTCGAGCCTGGACCTTCACGTGAGGACCCACTCGAGCGAGAGGCCTTTCAGCTGCGGCGTGTGCGGCAAAAGCTTCAACACTCGGAGAAACCTGAGGGTCCACAGCAAGCTGCACACCAAGGAGAAGGCCCACCAGTGCGGGGACTGTGGGCTGAAGATCAGCGACCTCGGGGCTCTGAAAATCCACCTGCGGACACACACCGGGGAGAGGCCCTACCACTGCACGGTCTGCGGCAACAGGTTCATTCGCCTCTCGCACCTGCGAAACCACCAGCGCACGCACACCGGCGAGAGACCCTACAAATGCACCGAGTGCGACAAGAGCTTCACGCAGTCGGGGGACCTGGTGAAGCACAAGCGGATCCACTCCGGGGAGAAGCCCTTTGAATGCCCCGAGTGCCACCGCTGCTACACGTCCTCGGGCGACCTGGGCAAGCACAGGAGGAGTCACACCAACCTGCGGCCCTACACCTGCACAGAATGTGGCAAAAGCTTCCGCTTGTCAGGCCATCTGAAAACCCACATGCTGACGCACACCGGGGAGAAGCCCTACTCGTGCCCCAACTGCCTCCGCAGGTTCGCCCGCTCCCATCATCTCTCCGGACACATAGCCAAATGTCACTGAGCGGATCCGAGGCGAACACGGAAGAGACAGTCCTGTCCTGAGGCAAATATATGAACTGTAGACGGTCTAACACTAGGTGTTTAATGAATGTGCAAAGTATAAACTTTAACCCGTAAATACTTTAGTAACTTTCCGTAACGCTATTGATTCAGATGATGATTATAGATTTAAATGAAAAAGTGATGAAATGGTTGAAATTACTAATATTGCATGAATTTTTTTATGCAATTGTCAAGGCTTGTATGTTTCTTTGTTTTTGTTTTTGTGTTGTTTTTTGTTTGTTCTGGGTGGCACTCGGATTTTACAGACATAATTTACAGATTATGGTGAGTTTTGAGAAATTGGTTGAGATGCGAGTTCATTGTATGTGCAGCTTGATTTGGTTTTACCCTGACCAAATTATCTATAAACCATAAATAAATTATGTGATTCATGCATGAATATTTTTGTAGTTCTACTGTGTTCAGTCAGTTTAAAAAAGGTACATTTGAAGTATTTGTGCAAAGGTTCTTTGTAATGATGGCTGCAAATCTACAGAAGCTGACTGCAGAAGATAGGTTTTTATTGTATATAATATATATAGAGATTGAAAAAAAACGGTGACAAAAATTTCACTGAATTAAACTAGAGGACAGGATTTTTTTCCTTTAATATAGCAAATGATATGAAGAGTTATGCTAATTTTGCAACTTTTATAACATTATCTTATAATGACTAGAGACTGAAATAAAGCTAGTGTTGATCTGATTTTTTTTTTAAAGTAATTTCTCTGCAAAAAATTGTGGTGTGTTAAAATGGTGCTTAGCAGCTGGATTAAACCGGACCCTGGGGCAGAGGCACAGTGCAGACAGGTATTTAGTAACAATTGTATCTCAGGTAGCCTAAAGTCATAACATCAGCACCCTTTGATTTTAACTGACATCCATTTATATTGGACCACTAATTCCTCTCCCAGCTAAACCATGTCAAATGGTTGTCAAATGGTTTACATATCATACAAAATCCAAAAATCTACAAAAGTCATAAAACACAAACATTAAATATTTAACAATCTTTTATTGAGTCATTACTAAATATATTTCAGATCTTATCCATAAATCTAGCATCTTACTTTAGCATGACAAGATGGGCTGTCACCCCTCCTTAATCAAGACATGGTTTCTCCTGGAACTTTAAACAGGTGTGAAGCCAAGCCTGCCTCTGGCTTTCAGTCCAAGCATTCTGTTAAAGGGAGCTGCAAGACGACAAACTTGCATATTAAGAAAAACTACCTCAGTTACAGTGTTTATATTGCATTACACGATATTATTTTTGGCGCCTACCACAGGACAGGCTTTCTGTGCAATTTGGAAGGCAAGTATTCAGGCAGTTTCCAGACTTCAATAAAAACACGTAAATCTGTTTGTGAATTTATTTCCATTTCGTGCGACATTTTGTGATACTCAGTCACATTTAAACGAAGGGAAGGCCTTATTTTCATAACGTTTTGGGGGCAAAATTGTGTAAAGAAAATAGCTAAACATTTCCGGTAACATGAAAACTTCTGAAGCTAAAAAGTTTGTTTGTGTGTCGCTCCTGTTAAGTATGTTAATGTGTGGCACAAAAATATCCTCACGGGTTAATCGTAGGAGAAACTCCGCCCATTAGTGCAGGACTGGTGCACGCGCATCCTTAATTTGGCTAGCAAAGAGGGAAATATCACGAAATGTTGCATTGCATTGTCGTGCTGTTTGGCTAGTTGTTTGTAGTCCCGGTAGTGTTTTTTTTATCAAACAATTTAAGTGTTTTTAAACAGGAGTCATTATAAACCGGCTATATTATTAAACTGTTGTGTGTTATGAACGTAAACTATAAGAATTGGCAACAAATCGATGATGGGCTTTGTTGTACTTATTGGCCGTTATTTATGACACATATTGGGCGAGAGTAACTTTTTAATAGAAGGAATTACAAAAAAAAGTATAAAATAAAAAACTGAAGTATCTAATGAGCCCTCGAGCATTAACAAACCTCGAAGAGGATTCCTCAAACCTGAGCTGCATTCCCCTTACAACAAAAA